CACCCGACGTCTGGCCTGTCCCGCACCCAGCCCTCGTCTCTTCCCTGCGGAGGGCTCCCGATGTTTGGCCTGCCCCGCACCCAGCCCTCGTCTCTCCCCTACGGAGGGCTCCCGACGTCTGGCCTGCCCCGCACCCGGCCATCGGCGTCCTTCTCGTTACCCTCAGCTCTCTCGCAGAGAGAACAGCCGCCACATGATCCACCGTCGTCCTCCTGCCCCGGCGTCGGACCCTGACCCGCGGCCCTGCCGCTGCCCCGCAGAGGGCTCCCGCCACCTCGCCCACCCCCGCCCTCTCGCAGCGTCTGACCGGTGGCGCCGGCGCCCCGCCGCCAGGTGGCGCTCGTGACGAGCGGGCGCGCGCCGACCTGTCGCGCGTGCTCCTGCCGCTGGTGCTGGACCTCAGCTGCGAGTCGGCCGTGGCGCACTTCGACGTGACGACGATGGTGGGCGCCACCGACTCGGATTCGTTCCAGCAGACGGCCTGCCAGCTGGTGGTGCGGCACGTGTACGCCATCGTCCGCCTCGTCAGCCAGGACGCGTAAGTGTGTGGTGTTTGGGGGAGGGGAGGAGCACGTGGGAGGGTCGTGTTTGGGGAGGGGTGGCGTAGTGAGAGTGTTAGAGTGAATGGGTACTTGTGCAGGGGTTCAACACGTTATCTCGCGGCTCGGCAGCAGAGTGAAGGGCACGGGCTGGGGAGGACAGATGGTGTCCGCGGTGTGTCAGGCTCTTATGAAAATATTCAAGGCTTAGTAGGGTAAGAAGGGATCAAGATCTTCCACAACACGGGTAAACGCCCCCACGGAGACAGTAGATTTCTTCATTGGAACGTTCCCATTCTGGTATTGGCTGCTCCGGCCGTGCCAGCAGAACACGCTCCTCGAGCGCTGGCGTGGCCCCCGTCGCGCCATCAGCGACGCGGGTGGTGTGCCTCTATGATGCCTCGGTGTAGCGACCGGCACCACCAGTCTCTGCGTTGCCCGCAGGACAATCAACGAGTCGGTGTGCGAAGAGTGCATTCCGCTGCCTGGAGTCGATGCTGGAGGTGCCGGCCGGGCGCGCGGCGCTCGCCAAGGTGCACAAGGAGGACAGCACGTTCCTGATGACCGTGCTGCTGTCCGCCTCCAGCCAGCGGCTCAGCTTCAACTACGGCATGCTTGTCCTCAGTTCTGCGACAAGCTCTTCCAAGCTGGTGGGTCAGGCAGCTTGTGCTGGGTTTGCTCAAAATGCGTCGACTGCCGTGCACTAGGACACTGATATTTTTGTAGCCCACCAGCGCATTGGGGAAGGAACTTTTATCTACGCACTTAAAGTAGATATGGTCGCATACCTTCCATAGTCTGGCGGATGGTTTCCTTGCCATTTTAGGTGGTCGGTGGTGTACATGCCATAAGCGTCAAACGACGACTCGGGCGTGGGCTCATTTCGGGCATTGGGTATCATTTAGCCACCAGCCATGAGCGGCTGCCGGGCTTTCCTGACGGCCAAACCCGACGTTCCACCGTCGCTTCGCTGAGCCGCGCGCCGCCGCCGCCCGCAGCGGACAAGCCCGGCGACGAGCTCCGCGAGCTGTGCGCGTCGCTGGACGGCCTGGCCCGGGTGGAGCCGGAGCGGCTGCGCCTCTGGCTCGGCAAGCTGGTGGTGTCGCTCGGCGACCGCGGCGACGAGTCGTCGGCCGGCAGGAACGAGCGCCTCGAGAGCCGCCAGCTGCTGCAGAGCGTGACGCAGTACCTGGTCAGGGAGGACAGGTCAAGTAGGCGGCCGGCGCGTCGGGCAGGTCAGCGCTCACCGGCCGCGCTCGCCCGCCGAACGGCGGCTGCATGCGTGTCGGCGCTCGTGAGCAGGAGTTGGCTCCGGGCCGCTCCGCGGCGCTCGCTGAAAAAACCGCCGAAGCCGACGCGGCGAGGCGTGAGTGGGCTACGGAGCGCGCTGAGTGGTGTTGCCGGAGGATGGGCGAAGAGAGATGGACGTGACCTAGACGTTGGCATGGGGTGGACGTGCGAACGGGACGTATCTCACTCTTGTCTGTGACGCAACTGCGGTGTTTTGACGTCCGTGGCAGGGTGTTCCTGGCTAGCGCTGTCAGTAAGAAGGTGTCATGCGTGACCTGGTGAGCTGACACCGTGTCCCGTGAGCCGACAGCGTTTTTTATGTTAGTGAGCTGACACTGTGTCCTGTATCATTGAGGCCGACATCGTGTTCCCCGTCAGTGAGCTGACACCGTGTCCCGTGTCAGTGAGCTGGAACTGTCTCCCGTGTAAGTGAGCTGACACCGTGTCAAGTGTCGGTGAGCTGACACCTTGTGCCGTGTCAGTGAGCTGACACCGTGTCACGTGCCAGTGCGCTGGAACCGTGTCCCGTGTAAGTGAGCTGACACCGTGTGCCGTGTCAGTGAGCTGACACCGTGCCCCGTGCCCAGTGAGCTGACACCATGTCCCGTGCCAGTGAGCTGACACCGTGTCCCGTGCCAGTGAGCTGACCACCGTGTCCCATGCCGGTGTTGCCCGTGAGGAGTTGGCGTGCACCACCGGCGCTGACGGCCCGCCCCGCCCGCCGTTGCAGCGCCGTCAGTGAGGAGGTGCCGCGCGTCATCCTGAACACGCTGACGGTGATGGGCGGCGAGCTGTTCACGCCGGCGTCGGCTGACGGCCGCGCACGGCGGCCTGGTGACGGCCATGGCCACGCTGGCCTCGGCCGGAGCCGGCCAGGGCCACGTCCGGCTGTTCGGCGCCTGCGCCCAGTGGCTCAACACCTGGTACGGCCACGCCGCGGCCGGCACGCCGCGGCGCAGACTCGGCGTGCAAGTGTGTGTCTGTAGGGGTGGAGGAGGGAACCCTCGTCTGCCTGCGTGGGGGTGGGGGACAGAACGGAGCGGAGCGAAATCCTCGCCAAATGGAGAGGCAGTTATTGATTGGGTGCTGCAGGATGTGGAATATTGGAACAGTCTGCACATCTGTCTGTAATGTCTTGTATGTTTTTAGCTGTAGGCCGTAAAAGTAGCTTGCTGCTTGTTGAGGAGCATTGTTGAGATGGATAGATTAGGCATTTTGCGAACCATTTCCCCTCAAGCATTCTCGCTTGTTTATGACTGGGCAGGATGCACTGAGAATGCTTCCGCACCGCAGCCGTTGTCTAGTGGGACCACCGAATATTTGCAGTAAGCACTACCTGTACCCAAATGTTCATAAGAGCGGCGTGTGTTGGCAGCAAGGAGTACCTGTGCAAGAAGGACGTGGTGGACAAGTTGGGGGAGGGCGTGGTTTCGGGACGACACACGGACGTGGTCACCTTCGCCTGCTGCCTGATGACCTACCTCAGCGACATCGTCTTGGCTCTCAAGGTAGCCGCCGAGGGTAGCAGGGGCTCAGCGGAGGTCATGCGAACGAGTGAGAGCAGGGGGATGGGTGGGTGCGTGTGCGTTTGCGTTTGCGTGTGCGTGTGTGCGTACGCGCGCGCGTGCGTGCGTACGTGAGTGCGTATCCGCTACCACATCTCGTCGTGTCTCCGCTCCCTTGACCCGCCGCTGCCGCTCCAGATGCTGGGCGACCACTGGCGCCACCCCGGTCAGTCGGGGTTGGCCACGCCGCCGCTTGAGGGCGACACGTCCGTGCTGGAGGCCGACACCGAGTGGGGCGACGAGCTGCACGACGACGACAGTGACGCCGACGACTCGGTACGCGACGCGGGGCGGTGCCCAATCGGACACATCGGACCGAGTTCACGGGGGGGGGGGGGGAGGGAGGGGAGGGGGAAGGGGCCGGGGCTAGGGCCGGCCTCTTGCCGACTGGGTGTCGTTTAGTGGTGCTGCTTTGTTTCTCGTTGTCCAGAAGTGGCGGTTGGCGGGGCGTATCATGCGTCAGGAAGGTGTAGACTTCTGGGTGCACGTGTGTAAACTTGGGATAGAACTGAGCACAGCCGTGGCCAGATCCACGTGGGCTGTGAAAGGCCTGGGAACGTGGTCGCTGCTACCAGCCTGCTGGGCGCGAACTGCTGCGGAGCATGACCACTGCGACGCGTCGCTGTGCTAAAGAGCTGCAACGTGCCGGCGCATGTAACTAATGGCCCGTCTCGCTTGCCCTGTCCGCCAGGACGAGGACTCGCTGAACAACAAGCTGTGTACGTTCACGGTGACGCAGAAGGAGTACATGAACCAGCACTGGTACCACTGCCACACGTGCAGCATGCTGGACTCGGTCGGCGTCTGCTCGGTGTGTGTGCGCGTCTGTCACAAGGGGCACGACGTCACCTACGCCAAGCACGGCAGCTTCTTCTGCGACTGTGGCGCCAAGGAGGACTCCAGCTGCCAGGTAGGGGCGCGCCGCCGGCTCGGCACCGCCGGACGCTTGCGGGAGGGTGGTCACCTGCACGCGCAGTGCTCGTCGTCGTGGTGTGCTCATGCTACGCCTCCTGTGTCTGCGTGTTCGATGACAGCGGGCAGTGGTTCTGACGAGCGGTAGCTGGTGAGCAGGCGCGGAGATGGCTGTCTTAACGTGTTCAAGAACGCTTTGCTGGTGAACGCTCATTTCAAAAGCGCCTGACTCACCATCGCACCGCCGCCGTCGTCCGCTCACCGTCTCGCCTTCCTCACCACCCGCCGCCGCCGCCACACCGCCGCTGACCCGTCACCGCCGGTGGCGCGCCCGCCCCGCCCCGTCGTGCGCCCGGTCGTCTCCGCCGCGTCCAACCGCGTCCTCCCGGCCGGCAGGCGCTAGTGAAGCGCAACCGGCAGCCGGAGCCGGCGGCGGCCGGCAGCGGCGGCGCCGGCGCCGGCTCGGGCGCCGGCCCGTTCGGCGCCGAAACCATGCTGCCGTCGCTGCTGCGCCGCCGCCCACAGCGCGCTCAGTCACGAGAGGCCCGACAAGTACCGCGAGCAGAACGTGCGCGGACGCCAGGCGCTCAGCAGGCGGCTCGGTGAGAGGGCCGCAGCAGAGGCTGGAGATGGGGCTGGGGAGGGCGGGGGACGGGTGGAGTTGTGGTGGAAGGGTGAACGGTTGCCCCGTCTTTGTCTATACTATCCTGTTATGCTGTTAATTGGCATGCCGCTTGTGCCATGCTGTCATCTGATCGATGGTCTTTGGGTTGCAATTATTTCCCCTGTGGTCGCCAGACATGACTCTGAATCAGATTAATGTGACGTCGGAGATGGGCTCTGCGCTTGCCATGTGGTGTCTCTACATGATGCATGAGGAATAATCACGTCGCTAGCCTACAGCTAAGGGCTTCAATTACGTGTTTGCCGTCTTCGACGCCTGAATGCCTTGACCGCGCTGACACCAGCAGGACCCTCTTCAGCATTATTCGCCCCTCCCCGCGCCCCCTCTGCTCAGTTGACCTGACCACGTGCCGCGCCGCCAGAGCCGTACAAGGACGCCATCTACGCGGAGCTACACAGCTCGGACGTGCTGTCGAGCGTGCTGGAGCTGGTGCGGCTGCTGCTGCCGGCGCTGTCAGCCAGCAGCCGGCGCACCTCGCCCATCGGGGCTCACCAGCGCGTGGCTGACGCGCTCGCCCAGCTGCACACCGTCGAGAAGACGTTCGACACCACCGACACGCTGATGGTGGGATGGCACGCGGCTGGAGGGATGAGGGGGAGGGGGCACCAAACGGGCGGGAGCGGCGGCAGCGTGACACGCGGCAGGGGGTGATAGGGGGGAGGGGGCGCCAAGCGGGCGGGAGAGGCGTCAGCGTGACACGCGGCGGTCACTCGGACGAGGCTGGGTGTGGTGACGGGACTGCCGTACTTACATGTTGTAGCTAATGGAACGTTAAGAGCTTGCGTTTATCATAACTGCCGGGCCACGGGTGGGCGTACTTGGGTTTGGAATGTTGTGACCAATCGTGCTAGGGTCCAGAATCCTACATAACGCGTCTCTATATAGTCACGAGCATGGTGTGCAACGCAACAATTTTAAACGCCGGTGAAATGCACGGCGTCGGTGGTCCTCCTCGGGCCGTGTGGCCTCACTCGCGTGCGCCGTCCGTCCGCCAGGTGCCGACGCTGGGCTCGCAAGAGGGCGCGTTCGACAACGTGCGCATGACGTTCGCCGGCGAGCAGGGCCAGACGATCCGGCAGCTGGTGTCGGCCCACATGATCCGGCGCGTCTCCATGTGCTGCCTGAGCAGCCCGCACGGCAAGCGGCAGCACCTTGGTGAGTGGGATGGGGGGCAGACTGGTGCCGCGTGCTGCTGTCCGGAGGTGACGCGGGTGTGCCGGTGTGCCGCGGGATGTGCCGGTATGACGTGGCATGTGCCGGTGTGACACAGGATGCGTCGGTGTGACGCGCCATGCACCGGTGTGACGTGGCATGTGCGGGTGTGCCGCAGGATGTGCCGGTGTGACGCGGCATGTGCCGGTGTGACACGGCATGTGCCGGTGTGACGCGGTATGTGCCGACGTGACAGGATTTGCCGGTGTGACGCAGTGCTCGGGCATGATGCGGTAGTCAGCGGGGCGGCGTGGTAGTTCCGTCTGCTTCTTGAGGCGTCTGCCGTGATGGAATGGGGCCTTCGAGAGCATGAATGGGTGTATTCGGTGGACGTCGGTTTCTAGACAGGGTTCGAGCTAGGCCTCTTGGTCTAGTATTCATCTCGATTCATGCAGACACCACCCACGTGTAGGCATGGACGTTTCATGAAGCCTCCCACGTTCATTACTCGCGCCAATTGAGTATGCTTGGGCTGTAACCTGCCGCCCGGTGGCGCCACACCCGCTCCGCCTGTGAGCCGTGGTTCTGCCGAGCCCGCCCGGGTCGGGCCCGTGACCCTGCTGACCCGGCGGCGCCCCACCTGCCCCACCTGTGAGCCGTGGTTCTGCCGAGCCCGTCCGGGTCGGGCCCGTGACCCTGCTGACCCGGCGGCGCCCCTCCGCAGCCGTGTCGCACGAGAAGGGCAAGCTGGCCGTGCTGCAGCTGTCGGCGCTGCTGAAGCAGGGCGACGCCGCCAAGCGGAAGCTGACGCTGACCCGCCTGGCGTCGGCGCCCGTGCCCTTCACCGTGCTCAGCATCTCCAGCAACCCGTGTAACGAGGACGTGCTGGCCGTCTGCGGTCTCAAGGTGGGCGGCGCGCGACGGGCAGCAGAGCGGCCGTGATCGGCTGGGAAACAGACTGCGAATGACGCGCTTTTGCCTCGGCGCGACGATAGTGGACACAGGCCAGGGAGGTCAAGGGGCGTTTCCGGGTTCTTGTCGCCGTTATTGCCTGCGAAGGCGTCCCCTAAGCACGAGCGGTGTAGGTAAGCATCGCGACGGATCCGGTCAGAACCGCTGCTCATCACACCGCAACGCACGCGAATGGTCCAGACCAGCATCGGTCGCGCTCCGGCCGCTGCCGCCGATGGCTCACTACTCCCTGTCTGTCGTCTCACCTCCAGTCTACACACGATCGCGCCCCAGACCACATGGCGCGCCTGCGACAACTGGCGCACGCTCATGCCCGGCTTTTAGAAGGGTGTGCCCTGTCCGGGACAGCACGCATGTGCCGCTTTCTCAGCGGGCGCCAGCCGCGATTGCTGGCGGCAGCCCGCTCGCCCCGGGATGGTCAATTTCGCAGGACACAGGCCGCCGCTGAGCCGTTCGCACAGGAAACCATTGTTCTTGCGGGTGCCTTCGGGCACTTTGCATCGCTGCTTGCAATGTTGTTGATTGCCTGCGCTGTTTGTTTGTTTTGTTTTTGGGCACGTTCGTTAGTCCGCCTGTCTGAAACCAGCTCACTTGAAAGCATGGCACCCCTTTCGTACTGTGTGTCGTCCCGGCCATGTCCGCTAGGCTATCTGACTTAAGCACTCATCTGCGATGCTTCTAACGTTGTCTGACTCTTATGGCTGTGTCTGGTGAAGTGTGACGCTGCGCCTGACCCCGACCGCACACCTGAGGCCATGTCCGTCACGTGATGACGTTCAGTATTTGACCTCTGACCCTGTCGCGCTGTCGCTCAGATGTTTGGCCTCGCCTGACCTTACCCTCGTTCGGCAGGACTGTCACGTGTTGACGTTCAGAATGTGACCTCTGACCCTGCCGCGCTGTCGCCGAGTGGTTTGACCTCGCCTGACCTTGCCCTCCCCCGGCAGGACTGCCACGTACTGACGTTCAGCTCTTCGGGCGCCGTGTCGGACCACCTGGTGCTGCAGCCGCAGCTGGAGACGGGCAACTTCATCATCAGCGCCCGCTGGCTGCCCGGCTCGCAGACGGCGCTGGCCATCATCACGGCCGACTTCGTCAAGCTGTACGACCTCGGCAAGGACGTGCTCAGCCCGCACCACTTCTTCCTGTTGCCCAGCGGCAAGATCCGGGACGCTTGCGTGGCCAACATGCAGGCAAGCGGCGAGGCGGTGGGCGGCGGCGGCGCTTGGCCGAGCTGCGCGCCGGCTGATGGCCAGGGTGCTCGATGGGTGCCGTGTGAGAATGGGGTTCACGGCGGTGGTCCTGGTGCGTGCCGTGGAGTGGAGCGTCTGTTAGGTCGAGAGTTCGAAGTGGTTGTGAACACTTAACATGTTGTCTCGCGGGATGGTTGTGCACCGGCTCGTGACGTTTCCCTTTGTTCCTCTTCTGACGTGCTGAAACACTCGCGTGAGATTGTTTCAGCACTCGTGTTGCAAACCATGTGTTGTGCGTCATGAAAGTTTGTATCCATTACCAGGTCGGGACCGTTTCTTCCACGCCGCTGCAGTATGTTTGACTGTTGCCAGCCGTGTATCTGCTGCACTGCCGTGCGAGCGCTGTGAGCGCGTTACGCCGCTGCCGGCCGCGGTCTGACGTCGCCCTCCCACCAGGACGGCTCCCGACACGTCATCATCATGTCATCCACCGGACTGATCTACACGGTCGAGATCAACGAGGAGAGCTCGGCCCAGCACGGCCCCTTCTACGTCACCAACATCCTGGACCTGTCGCACCCCGAGGTCAAGGTAACGGCCAATGGACGGACGTGCCTTCAAGGGGGTCAGTGTCGGACCTTGTTAAATGGGTCGCGCTTCGTTGTTGTGGCACGCTTTCACAAACTGCAGTCTATTGGTGTTGCGGTTGTTTAATGACTCCATCCATCGGTGGCGTGGTGGGGTGCCTCTTTCAGTTACCAAAAGTTTGCATTCAGTGTATATATATATACATATGATCAGATGGAGGTTTAATGATGTCTTCCCTTGCAGTGGTCCAACGGCCAGATCTGCGGCGGAGGGGTGGCCATCTACTACTCGCACGTGCTGCAGCTGCTCTTCTTCAGCTACACGCAGGGCAAGAGCTTCCTGGCGCCTCTGACCAGTATTGGTAAGGCCATCCATGTAGCATTAGTTAGAACAATGCTAGTAGTATTCTGGTAGCAGTCTTCTTCAGTCATTGCTGTCAGCATTCTTAGATCGACTAAAAATTGGTACCGTGTATAATACTTATCATCTGGACCACGCGGTTGAGCTGTCGGAGCTCCCTCGATGAACGCGTTGACACACAATTATGATCCCCACTAAACACATAACTTAACAAATAGCTGCATTCCTAATGTTAATAGAACGGCTCTGATGCGGGCTCAAACAACATTACACCGAGTGTTGATTATCTTGGACCGTCGCTGTTAGGTGTTTTTAATCATTTGAGAGCCGTTGCCGGTGATGGCTATGTTTGTTCGTTGTTGAGCCATGTGTGGCCGCTGCTGCCACTCAGCGTCGCACCGCGCCGCAGGGACGGAGCTGGACAACCTGACGCAGATCCAGCTGAAGCCGTCGGGCTCGGGCAAGCCCAACTCGCAGCCGCTGTGCCAGTGGCGCAGGGGTGATCGGCAACCCGGGCCATTCCGATGCTCGTCACCCAGAGCAGTGAGTGTCCTTTGTGTCTGCTGACGGGATCAGTCTACGGGGGCAGTGGGGCACCCTTGGTTGTCTCTGAAGGCACGAAGCTCAGTGGCACAGAGCAGTTGGTCACCTACCTTTGGTTGTCTTGAGAAGGTATCAGTGACCACAGAGGCAGTGAGTCATATCTGGTCTATCCAGAAGAGTTCAGTGACGGCAGTGGGTGTCCTTGGGTGTGGGTCTCGGACCCGTATACCGTTAATCAGGTGGAGTGCATGGCGTGTGGTCTGCCTCACGGCAAAGGACGTTCACTCGCAATGGCTGACCACCGTTGTTCAGTACCCAGAGTTTGACCCCACTGTCGTGCAGTCCCGAGTTTCGACCCACCTGTCTGTGCAGTCCCCGGAGTTTGGCCACCTGTCTGTGCAGGTACTCCGGGAGTTTGACCCACCTGTCCATGCAGTGTCCACACCCGGTGAGATCGGGTGCAGACAGAGGGCTAGTCAGTCGGTGTGGCATGCTGCTCCCTTACTCTGTGACCTGTCGCCAGGCCGTGACCACCGCGCGTCACCACACCCACGTCGCCTCCAACCCCAGCCGGGTGCCGGCCGATCTGGCGCGGCCGGCGACGCGCCAGCGACGCGCCTCTCACCTCCGGCCGCTCTCCGCCGCAGGCAACAATCCGGTGATCCTGATGGTGAAGCCGGACTCGGTCTCGGTGCAGGAGATCCGCATCGTGCCGTCCAAGTCGAAGATCACCGACATGGTGGTCATCCGCCACCCGACGGCCGGCAGCGACCGGCGCACCACGCTCATCGTGCTCTGCGAGGACGGCAGCCTGCGCATCTACATGGCCTCGCCAGAGCGGACCGGTCAGTGGCGCGGGCGCGGACTGGACTGGTGGTCCGGGGTAGGGCTGGCGCGGGACGGGGTGAGGCGTGAGGGATTGCGGGCTGGGGCGACGGGGTGGGTAGCGGTTCAGTGCGAGCGGCGGAGGAGTCTGGGGTGGTCCAATGCCTTGACGGGTAGGGTGTAGTTTTGGGCTCAGGTCTTTGTCGACTCGATTCAGGTGCAAGGTGATGTCACGCACTGGTCTGAAAAGATCGCTCCGCAAAACACATGGCGCACCGCTCCCCGCTCCCGACGCGCCATCTCCCGAATCTAAGCACGGATGTGCTCTCCCCGCTCCACCCGACCCTTCTTCCTCGTGGTCTCAGGCTGGTGGCTCAGACCGCCGTGTCCTGCGGCCAGACTGTCAGCTGATCCCCTCTCTCCCGGATGGCCAGGCTTCTGGCTCTCGTCCTCGCTGACCCCTCTCTCCCGGATGACCAGGCTTCTGGCTGTCATCCTCGCTGACTCCTCTCTTCCGGATGGCCAGGCTTCTGGCTGTCGTCCTTGCTGACCCCTCTCTCCCGGACGGCCAGGCTTCTGGCTGTCGTCCTCGCTGAACCCGACGAGTGTGATGGCCTCGCTGCGGCCGCCGCGCAAGAAGAAGGCGCCCAAGCCAAGCCGCGCTGCCGGCGCCGTCCAATTCCCGCCCGACTTCTTCGAGGGCTGCCAGCCCATGAACGACGTCGAGTACGGCGGCGACGACGTGCTGCAGGTGTACAACACGCAGCAGGTTAAGCAGCGGCTCTCCATGACAGGTCAGCAGCCCGGAGGCGTTCGAGGACGGGGTGTGGTGGAGGTCGGGTCTGGTGGCGCGGTTTGTATCCAGTATCACGGTGTATGCCAGTGTAGACAGCGCCGTTATTTGCTGTGCTACGGGTTTGACAGCGTTGCCCACGTAGAGTTGATATTGAGTCGGTCTCCGTGGCTGCGTGAAAACACGTGCGCATATCAGTCGTGCACCGGCATCGGGAGATTCCCATCACCGCGTGTCACCCCTCGTCCGCTCAAGTGCACGCCGGTGTCGGAGTGTACGCCCGCACACCCGGCCGCTGCCGACGCCGCCAGCTCGTGGTGCGCGTGCAGTCACCGCTGAGTGGCGGCGTCTCCTGGCTGCTGGCGCCGCCGACCGTTGGCAGCGTGCGGCCGCCGCCTGACCGGCCGCCACCTGGCCGGCCGCCGACTGACCGGCCACCGACTGACCGGCCGCCGCCTGACCGGCCGCCGCCTGACCGGCCGCCGCCTGACCGGCCGCCGCCTGACCGGCCGCCGACTGACCGGCCGCCGCCTGACCGGCCGCCGCCTAGTCGGCCACCGACTGACCGGCCGCCGACTGACCGGCCGCCGACTGACGGGCCACCGACTGACCGGCCGTCGCCGACTGACCGGCTGCCGCCTGACCGTCCGCCGCCTAGTCGGCCACCGACTGACCGGCCGTCGCCGACTGACCGGCCTCCGACTGACCGGCCGCCGTCTGCCCTGCCGCCGACTGACCGGCCGCCGACTGACCGGCCGCCGACTGACGGGTCGCCGACTGACCGGCCGCCGTCTGCCCTGCCGCCGACTGACCGGCCGCTCCCGGCAGGCATGTACATCGCGTCCACCAAGCCGTCCGGCTTCAGCCTGGAGGTGACCAACGGCGACTCGGCGATGGTGATCTGCGGCGTGCAGATCATGGTCGGCTCGCAGGACCCGCAGCGCAGCCCCAGCTACGTCGAGGTGAGCGCCGGCTGATGGCAGACGGCGGGCGCGCTGGGCTGGCGAGGGGCGCGGGTGGAAGGCGATCGGTGTTGGTTGGACTGGGGGTGCAAGTGGGAAGTCCTGGAATCGTCTGAATGTTCGGAAGAGTGTAAGGTGGTCTTTCAAATCGGCGCTGACTAGTAAGAACCTTACAGCAGTCTAGTGAAACTTACTCAAGCAGGTACGTCTGTTTTATGTGAATATGTGAAAGGGTGACACGTTGGTTTTATCTGCGCTAGCGTCCGAAGTCCTGGCAAACCCGAGCGAAGTTCAGCCCGGCCCTTGAAGAGACCGGGCCCCACTAAGTGCCTTCTCGTCGCCATGCTCGCCCGCCGCGTTGTAAAGGCTCTGTCCTGACGAGCTCTGACGGCCTGCCCCGCAGCTGCTGGGCCGCAGCGTGCCGCTGCACTGCACGCGCGCGCGCTGGTTCGACGTGCCGCTCACGCGCGAGGAGTCGCTGCAGGCCGACCGCCGGCTGGTCATCACGTTCGGCCCGTCCCCGGACCCGTCCGGCGTCACCATGGTGGACTCGCTGAAAATGTGAGGCACCGCCGGCCGCTCGCAGGCGCGGGATGGGCTGCCGGTGGTTGGTCTTGTAACCTCGTGCGGGACCGCTCGGGGAGTTGGTGACCGCTGCTGCGTCGTCGCTGCTGCGGCTACACCGACCGGGCTCGGACATGATGTAAAGACACTTGGTAGCAACATCTTGGCCCCCGTCTGAGGCTGTGTCGGTCTGGGCGAAGCGCGCCGTGTGGGGTATATGTCTTATTACTGCATTAGGAAATGTTGCTTGGCAGGATACTAGCGCATCTCGCGTTTCATACATGTATCCGCACGCTCACCATGCCTGTCGTCTGCGCCCGCCACCCTTCGACGAATCTCGGCCATTCACTGCCGGTGTGCAGCTAACCGTCGCCATTTCAGCTACGGCAAGACGAAGGAGAGCTTCGACTGGCCGGAGGACAGCGACGAGTACATGTCATCGCCGTCCGCGTCGGGCACGAACCTGACGCCGGGCAGCGAGCAGGAGGGCAGCGCCGCCGCCGTGCTGCCGCTCACGGCGCTCGACAAGTGAGACTACCGTCTGCGGCTGTGCTGGGCGCGGCGCCTCGCTGTTTCGACCGCCCTATGGGGTTGGCGCGTTGTTGCCTCGGCACTGGCACGGGCGCCGCTGTGTGAATACGTTACGACGAATACGAATACGAATAATACGTCTTGGAGTGACTCGCTCTGTGGCGTCTGCCATCACGGTTTTTTTCTGCCCGGATTTGGGCCCCGTCCATTGTGACAGTTGTGTAGCCCTGAGTCATCCACCTCTGACTGTATATAGGGTTCACTCGTGCTGCAGATCACCCACTTTGTAATGGCTAGCCCAGCTCCCTCTCCTCGCTCGCCAGAGGCCGTAAAGACGGTCATGTGCAACGGAATTGATCGGTATGTGACCAGCTGTCGGATTGGTGACCAGTGGCCTGGAGACGCTGGAGGGGTGATAGCTCTGACCTCTCCCCTGTCTGCAGACTGGTGACCTGGAGACGCTGGAGGGGTGGTAGCTCTGACATCTCCCCTCTCCTCAGACTGGTGACCAGCGCCCTGGAGACGATGGAGGGGTGCGTGGTGGCGGCGCCCGAGTCGGACCCGCAGCGGGCCGCGGCGCTCGAGCTGTGCACGGCGCTGGTGCAGTTGGAGGCGCCGCCGGTCGGCCAGGTGCTGACGCAGGTGGACGCGCTGCTGGCCGCCCTGCATACCTCCCGCCAGGCCTACTACAGCCACAAGGTAGCCGGCCGCCGCCGGGCGCCGATGGGTGGGTGGGGGCTGGGCCCGCTGCAGCCACTGCAGCATCGGGGGAACGCTAGAACATAGAAGCTGTGTGCAGCCCCTGGCTATCCTCTTCGTGTCACAGATCCTTGATCATGTTATTTTTGCACGTAGTATAAGCAAGAGGAGCCTGGGGCTCCCGCTTTTACGGCATCGTTACATCATTCGGTGTATTGGAGGTTGGCCACTCTCAGCGTAAGAAGTCCCAACTCACATTTTAATGTTACTAATGGTTGACATGGAACGCCATGTGCCCACGACACGTTCGTGGAGATCGGACGACAGGCTCGTGTGAGGGTAGCGCTGTAACAGCATCGCGGCTGGTGCGGCCTGGCAGGACCATTCGAAGCTGAATCACGTGTGGAAGATGCTGCGCAAGATGGACGCCAACGCCGAGTCGCGTAACCTGGACTCGGAGCTCTTCCACCACCTGGTGGTGACCTCTCGCAACATCGCCATCTGCCGACCGGCCAACCTGGTGAAATACACGGTCGTGAAGGGAGGTACGGACGGCTTTGCCGGACACAAGGCATGGAGCAGCCGTCGTCGCTATGTTCGCTAGCTGTAATCACTGGAGCTCGGCCGCAGCTGTAATCAGCAGAGTTCGGCCGCACTTGCGCCTTTGTTCCCTTCAGCGACGGCCGAACGTGGTCGAGGAGGCAGGTGCCCTCTCCAGCTCCAGTGTGAAAGTGTGTGTCCTTTCCCGACGTTAAGCAGCTGTGCTATCATTCGCCATGACCTGTCGGTCTCGTGCGTGCCTGGCGCGGGTGACCGCCACGTGAGCACGAGCCCTCAGTCCCCCGTCGGTGGCCGGCAGAGGGCGACGACAAACCGGACAGCGGCGGCGCCGACTTCGTGTCGCTGCTGATGGCGCTGTTCTGGCGGCTGCACGACGCCCAGCCGGAGAACGCTCTCACGGCGCCCGTCTGTCTGCCCGGTGAGGGACGCCCGGCCGGGCGGCAGAACTGGGGCGGGACACCGCCTCGGCGGGATCAGTGATCGATCCTTTGAAATGTGACTGCCAGCGGATTGCTGTTTTGCATTTGCGTTTATATTTGTGTTAGGCCGGCCTGCGGCTAACGTCGCAGTAGCGTGCTTGACGGGCATGGAATTCAAATCGCGACCTTGCTGTGTCGTCCCGAACACCCAGCCCCGAGCGGCCTGCGCTTCACTGCGCGTCATGTTCGCGCCGCGTGGCGCCTGCTCCTCTGACGCGGTGCGCTGCCGGGCAGGCCTGACGCACCCGGAGACGTGCGTGTACGCGCTCTCGGACGTGCTGTACGCCTTCTTCACGACGGAGCCGGAGCTGGCGGCGCCGCTGACCGTCGTCATCTCGCGGCTGCTGCTCAGCGACGACCGGGCCGTCAGCTTCGCCGCCAAGCAGGGCCTGATTCGCGTGTTCCGACCCAAGCAGCGCCGCCGCCGCGTCTTCATCCCATCGCCGCCGCGCTGCTCCACGCCCGGTGCGTGCCCCGGGGGCGGGGAGGTGGGAGATGCGGGGTGGGTAGCGGATTGGTGTGACAGTCGGGGTCGGGTGTGGACATCGTGCGTGTGTGGACCTCGTGCACGTACGTTCATTGTCCGAGGTGCGTGGCTGTCATGACTGTCTTGATTTCGTGCCCTTTGTGCTGTGACGAGGATTTACAGGGTGCTTTTTACAGATTTGGAAAAGTTTATTTGCATCGCATCTTGTGACACCGTGTCTCCGTCGCTCTCGCGGCCTGTCGCACCCCGCCTCCGTCGCTCTTGCGGCCTGTCGCACCCTACCTCCGTCGCTGTCGCGGCCTGCCGTCCACCCGACTCACGGCGCTGCTCTCGGCAGGCGCTGCCGCGCCCGCCTCGCTGGAGCGGTCGGCCAGCTCGAGCTCGGCGCGCGGCGCCGGCCGGCCCGCCGCCGCCGCCACCGCCGCCGCCCGAGCCGCCCGCCGCTGTGCTCGTGGACGAGACGGCCGAGCCGGGCGACGACGACTGACGACGAGCTGGAGTCGGGCGGACTGGACGTGGAGTCGCTGCTTGGCGCAGGCGCAGGGCCTGCCGCCGGCTGCTGGACCTGCCGCCGGACGCCGACGACGAGACCATGGTTCGAGCTGGCGATCGCGCTCAGCCTGCAGGTGAGCTCGGCCGACTCCGCGGCAGGTGCGGCCAGATGCGGACGGGACGGGCGCCGAGGTGCCGACCACGGTCGGAGCAATGCCAGCTGTGGGCGGGGCGGGCGCCGAGGTGCCGACCACGGTCGGAGCGACGCCAGCTGCGGACGGGACGGGTGCCGAGGTGCCGACCGCGGTCGGAGCGATGCCAGCTGCGGGCGGGCGGGCGGGTGCCGTCGTGCCGCGCGGTGCGACCGCGTTCCGGACGGGTGGGTGGCAGTGGCGACGACGATCGATCACCTGCTGGACGGGCGGTGGCCGCGGTGCTCCGCGTCGGAGCGCTCCTGGGCGGGTGGGTCGGCAGGGCACGACAGATCCCCCTCCACCTGACGTGGCCGGCGATTCCACGGGATCGCGTGGAATCTCCTTAGTGCGAAAGCCGCCGCCGCTGCAGGGTAGTGCGTTTTGCGCCAGCAATTTGTCATTTGTCTTCTCATGTGCCAGCTCAATATCTTACTGTCGGAACCGTCTGCCAGAGTGGCCGTACTGCTGGGTGCGGTCGGGAGTCCACCTCTGGAGGGATGATCATGTAACCGTTTGTGACGTCAACAGACCATGAAGGCACGCGCCGTCGCTGCAGAACCTGCGCCACACCTGCAGGGGTCGTCGGGCGGGACGCCCTACAGAACCTGGGCGGCCAGCCGCTGCAGGTAACGGCGCGCGCTGGTGTCCGCGCGGTACGGCGCGCTGGCTCAAGGCTCCCTTCCCCCGCTCTTTTTCTGTAGCCGTGACGTGTTTCAGTGATGTGCTCCGCTGGAGTTCACAACAACATCCCTCCCCCGTCCTTAGTTCTGAGTACTTAGCGTTATTTCGACGCGTGCCTGGCTGTGTGATGGTGGACTCATGGGGACCGCCCGCAGAACCCTTGCGCTGTTGTTGGCGTATGCCCCGTGTCACGTGCTGTGGCTGAGGTCGGACGCCGGCCGGCGTCGCCGCTCCCGGCGTGACGCCCCGCTGACCGGCGCCTGACCTGGCGCGCCTCAGAACCTGCTGGGAGCGGCCGGCGGCGCCGAGGCAGGCGCGGCCGGCGCCCCCAACGAGGGCCACTACTCGGACACGACGGCGTCGGCGCCGGCCTCCGACGACGAGGGCTCGACGGCGGCCACCGACGGCTCGACGCTGCGCACCTCGCCCGCCGAACAGGTGACCTGCGGCCACAGCGGCCGGGTCGGCGCCGGGGCCGAGGGAGCAGCCACAGTCCCTGGGAAACGGGGTCCGAAATTTGTGTGAACTGAACTGCAGCAGGAGTGTTGCAAATGTGGCGGCTTGCCGCAGTCTGGGGAGAAGGAATGGCCGTTGCCCGCCAGCCCTCACCCGAGGTCGCCCTTGTAAGGACTCGCCACCTTGTCCGTGGCGGATGATGCGCTGTCTGTAGAGATGCAGGGACCTTTGCATGGTGCATTATCTGAGGTGAACGGAGGGGAGGGGGATCTGAAGATAATATGGGGATCCCGGCTAGTGAAGTTAACCTGTGGGACATTGTAGTGTGGAAATAGTATTGGCGGCTACTGAAGACGGAATGGTATCGTTGCCGTCGTACTTCGTCTGAAAGCACGCCATCATCTTGCGTGTTTGGGTGGCGTTTAGGCTGTCACTGCAAGCAGCCGACCCACCTGTCCGCAAACATACCCTCGGGCACTTCGCCACCTGCCGTCTTGGTGGCTTTGTCGCGCTAGGCTGTTCCCACCCGTGCTGCCTCCCCCTGCCGCCGCCCGCGCTGCGGGCCGTGGCTGGCTCTGCGGCTGCTGACGGGCTCGGCGGGCGCGGCAGGCCGGCAGCGGCGGCTCCGAGAGCGGCGCCAGCGTAGTGGACAGCATCGCCGGCGAGCACACGTCCGGCCGGAGCTCCACCTACGGCGACGCCGGTCACGAGTCGGCCGCCGGCGCGCGCAGCGAGACCAGCTCGGTCGGCGCGCCCGGACACTACCAGGTGAGGCGGCCGGCGCGCCGGTCCGGGGCGAGGCGCCGCCTGTGCAGACGCGGGTCGGACTGGCCGGGCCATACGAGGTGGTGGCCTAGACATCCGTGCAGCAGCTTTGACGGCGTCCTGCTGGATGGTGACCAGCACGCTTCGGGCGAATGGCTGGGTAGTGCGCACCAGGGCTTGGAGAATGGATTGGCAGCTTCCGAACGATCTCGGCCGTGTGACTGGGCGCCTGGCCGGAACGCACGTGCGCAGCGGACGGATAACCGAGCACCGCAGCGCTGTGTGCCAGACCCTCGCCGCTACAGTCGCCGCGTCCGCCTCCGGTGCTGACGTCAGTGTGTGCTCGCAGCCGGCCGAGGTGGACGAGCCGGAGACGGACCGCAGCTCCCGACTGCACGGCCTGCGGCTGGGCCTGACGGAGCGGCTGCTGGAGTACCTGCCGATGGTGCGGCTGGTCGGCGGCGTGCGCGCCATACCTTACCTCCAGGTACGGCGGCCGGCCGGTGCTGGCGACGGGCGCTGCCGCGGCTCCGTGGCGGGCTGTAGTAGGTCGTATGGTCCCAGTCCTGGCAGGCATTGCCGATATGATGTCAATGCAGTGACTGAAAGTTGGCAAAAGCATTGTCGGTGGGACTGTCAAAGAGTGCGTGGCTGCCATGTTGCCGTACCGCACGTGACCCGCGGTGCAGAAGTGTGACGAGGAGCAGCCCCTGCGCGCTCTGCCGATCTGCGCTCCCCGACTCCGACCAGCGCGGTCGGTCGTATTCCGCTAACGCCCGGGCGGCCGGGCGCAGGTGCTGCTGATGCTGGCCTCCGACCTGGACGGCTCGGACGAGCGCGACCGCGCCTGCCTGGACGCCCTGCTACGCGCGCTGGTGGCGCAGCTGAAGACGGACGGCGCGCCGGCGGCGGCGCACGAGCGCAGCAGTGACGGCGAGATCCGACTCATCATCATGCGCATGCTCAGTGAGTCGGGCGGGACCGCGCCGGCGGCTGGAGCGAGGATTGGCTCGACGCTTCAGCCACCTGTATCCATGTGCATCGTGCTGGTCGTGTTATATTGCCCCAGTCTGCAGCCCCATTGGTTTCAGACCCTTGACTGGCAGTGCATGCTGAAATGTTGATTTCAACGGCGCTTTCTGAGTGGAAGAAGAACAAGGGCTCGGGCCTCGAATGAAAATACGTGTGTCGCTATGCGAACTATTCGGACACCGTAGCGCCCGTTTCCAACGGGAGAAGTCGGCAGTCGCTCCCGTGTGTTCGAGCGTCAGTACAGAGCAGTCGGTGCGGTGTGCTGCGCCTCCCCCGATACCTGTGGCCTGTCTGCAGGCGGCATACTGCGTCGGACCATGCTCCTGACAGCCTCGTGTTCCGCTCCCGTCCCCCTGACGTCTCCTGACGTGTCTCGCCCGTCGCCAGGCGTGCTGATGTCGCGGCCCAAGCAGATGGGCCGCCACGGCGGCGACGGCTGGGCGTTCACGGCCACGGCCACGGCCGCCGCGCTGCTCAAGGCCGACATGATCGGACACTGCCTGACCACGCTCAAGGCGCTCATCGCCTACTGGAAAACGTCAGTGGCTGCCTGCGCTCCGCTCTCTCGGCGGCTCAGTGCATCTAGGAGATGACGCTCCGAAAGGCATCGACGCCTTGTGTTCGTGTTGTAACGCTGGTGCGAATGCAGGGCGGGCTCGTCAGCTTAATCTGTATTTGCGTGAATTTTCGCAAATGAGCTATTATAAATAGTTGCGAAATATATATAAATATAAATATATATATATATATATATATATATATATATATATATATATATATAAATAGTTGCGAGCTAACGGTTCGCGAAAATGGTAGAACGATTCTAACCAGCCCAGAATTATCTTGCGAATTTCACGTTTGATATCGGCGCGGGCTACGAATGCATACCTTCCCCCACATGGTTCGTTCGGCCGACATGGTATTGGGTCGCATTGGTTCGAACTGTGGCTGCCGCCTACATCCGAGCGTGACGGCTCGTCTGGACCGCAGGAGCGACAAGGACGACTCTGGCACGGTGGTGGGTGGCAAGCTGCTGAAGGAGCACCCGCTCTCCCCCACTCCCGACATGTCGCCCTTCTTCCTCAAGGAATACGTCAAGGTGCGCGCAGTCGTCGGCTCGGCCTTCGACAGTGTTCGGGTTGCCGACAGTGGTACCGTGGTGGTGTGCGTTTCAGCTGAGCCGTCGGTGCTAAGTTTGAACTGGAGGCGTCATTGCAGTCATTGCAGCGTTCAAGGCTTCTTGCCATGACAGCAAACAGCTACACTTCGCTTGGTATCTGCATATTTCAGCGGCTGTTCACCGATGCAGCGGTCCTGGCAGCGTGTGGGTCTCCTCCGCTGATGGTCACATCCATTGATCAGTCGTGAACGATTGCTCTTATCATTCGAGACATCTGCACGCCGAATTTTAGCAGAACGTCGCTGTATTCGTCGTTCTATCTGGTCTGTACTAAAACATGCAGGACTTATGTGCGAGACTGTCAGTTCAACCCCGTCTTGGCTTCCCCATGGCTCATGACCTGGAGTCTGCACGCGTGATATCCGCCCCCACCCACCGGCCAGCCTGCTCTGAGCCATCAGTGGCCGCGCCTCACCGACCCGCCCCGGGTCGGCCCGGGTGTCCCTCCGACTGCTTGCGGGCCGCCCGCGCGTCCGGCGCCACCGTCGCCCTCGCCCGGGACCGCGTGCGGCAGCTCCCGCGCCGCGGCGTTGGTGTGCGCCGCCTGACCCGTGCCGTCTCTGCCGGCAGCGCTACTCTGCGGACGTGTTCTCCACCTTCTCGCAGCTGTTGACCGAGATGGTGCTGCGGCTGCCGTACCAGGTCAAGAAGGTGCTCAGCGTCGTGCCCGGCTCCAACGTCGACGTTTTCGGCGAGGTGGGTCGTCGGCCACCCGCCGCGTGTCAGTGCTGGTCCGTCAGGCGCAAAGGCAGACGGGTGGTGTGAAATGTATACATGTGGTTGGGAGTAGTGCCCAGTGACGGTCGATGTGATGCGATTCAGGTTATAAAAATTGCACAGTGCTCTGCTGCAAATGTGTATACGCAATTTTGCTAACAGCTGGAAGGCTATGCCTCTGTTTCGGAGGGCGTTTCGTGTCACGTGATAAAAGCCTTACGTGCTTTTTCTGTTTTCGGTGCTGCTCGCAGGCTCTACCTGCGCCCGAAACTTGTGTACATACCCCTACAGGCTGTCTGTGCACCATAGCGTGTCTGGCTGATCTTGTGTCGCTCGGTTATGACATGACGCTAGTTGCTGGCAGTGCCCTATGAGCCACACCGTCCAGCTTCCCCGTTTGTAACCAGAAGCTCGCCGGCTGACTGGTCCTTCTGGCGCTCAGAATTGGCGCCAGACGCTGTGCGAGTACATGATGGCGCCGCTGGCGCCGTTCGTGCGGCGCCAGGTGCGCAAACTGCTGCTCTACATCTGCGGCAACAAGGACACATACCGCCAGCTGCGCGACCTGCATGCGCTCGACGCGCACATCAAGGTAGGCGTGAGAGGCGGGCGCGCCGGCGCTGGCGCACACATCAAGGTAGGCGTGAGAGGCGCGCGCGCCGGCGCTGGCGCACACGTCAAGGTAGGCGTGAGGGGCGGGCGCGCCGGCGCCGGCGCACCGAACGTTCGGAGAGGGTTGACGAGACGGGGTGAGGTGAGGTGTGGCGACGCGGGGCAGGTGGCGCGAGCGGGCAGTGTCTTGCAGCTATGCGCGTTTCTCGCACTCGTGAAGTCACGGTTATGTGAGAACATCCACGGAGCTGTTGGTTCAGTCTGAGGAGTTCTGTGTATGTTTACTCTCTTCAGTGGCGATGGGCGGCGTGAGGCACTATACGGGTTCTAAAACACGTTAATTTGAACGCTTATGCATGTGATTTGCGAATCTGCCTGTCATTTTCTGCCTGCCTGTGTTTCCGCTCGTGTCGGGAAGACAGTTTTATTTTGACGGGCGGTTTGGTTGCCGAAACGTTCTCTTTTAAATAGCCCGAAGCCTGAGCGCGTACTGTTACGCTTATCACTGCGGTGAGACCGCCTTGTGTGGTTGTACGAAGCACCGACTCATCGACCGCGCACTCATACATGAAAGATATATGACTATGTTGTGTCCCATCAACCCATCGCCCTGCGTTACGTCATGGTCAAGGTGGTAACGTAGAAGACTTGCGGTCACACACGCGATTTTGCTCGTGGTCCCTGATGGCCTCTGTCCCTCCCACGAGTCTCCTGGCTGCGGGGTTCGCCCTGCTGGCCCTGGCGTCACCCGACGCCGGGTCAGCTCCCGGCCACCGCCCGGCCACCGCCTGACCTGGCCGTGCCCTCAGGCGGTGCAGTCGCTGTGCGGGGAGAGCGCCGGCTCACCGGAGGGAGGCGCCCTGCTCTGCCTCTCGTACGACTCGCTCATCGAGCTGGTGGAGCACCTGAAGGCGTGCCAGGAGATCGCCAGCACGCGCACAGGTCAGTGGCCGGCGCGCTGCCGGCGTCGGCGGCAGGAGCGCCGTGGGCAGCGCGGTCGTCCGGCGCCGCTCCCAGACTGCCGAGTTATGAGCGTGGGACGTTGCGGACAGCGGGGGCCGAGGGAGAGCGTGTTTGTGCAGTGTGCTCGCAATCGGTCTCGCCAGTAGCCAAGCGTGTGGTTTGGTGTAAGCGCCACGGGATATTGCTTGCCCGTTTTTCATGAAAACCCAAGTCTGCCTCATGCTCCTTGCGTCATTGAAATGAAGCTGCCGTAATGCCGTCGCCTGGCTGACACGTGCGTGGTGGCGCTGCAGTGAACTGGCAGCGGTTCTGCGCCGGCCGGAGCGAGGTGCTGGCCTTCCTGCTGCAGGCCAGCTACCAGCTGGACGAGGGCGTGGCGCCCATCATCCTGCAGCTGCTGCAGCTGGCCGTGTCGGCGCCGGCCGCGGCCGCCGCCGGCGCCGGCGGGAAGCACGCTCAGGTACGGCGAGAGCGTGTCGTCGGGAGTGACGGGGAGCCGTGACGGGGGCCGTGTGCGGAGCGGGCAGGACGCGTCCGCGTGGTGTCAGCGGTGGTAGGCGCGGTCAGCGCGGGGAGAGGCGCGCCGCCGCCCCTTGGCACGAGACGCAGAAGTGGCAATGTCGGCGATCAGGAGAAGTTGCCATCGCTGGCCCATGAACCGAATGGTTAAGTTCTCTGAATTGTACATACTCAGGGACATTCGTACGCAACCGTGGCTTTTGAGGTTCCGTGTCTTTGCATTTGGCCAGAGGAATGAAAAACACATACCGGACATACCCCTCATGCCGTACAAATACCCTGCCAGCTTAGTCAGCTGTTAACCGCCGACAGAGAGTTGCGGTCATCAGCCTCCCTGTACCCCACACGCTTCGCCGCCGATAACGTGCCACCGCTGCGCCCTCAGTCGTCGAGCGACTCGGACCCGTCTTCGATGAGCCGCCAGCTGGCGCGTCAGCTGATCGGGCCGGGGCCGCTGCCGGCCGGCACGGCTCGCTTCGTGCGCACCTTCCTGCTCGAGAGCAACGCCACCGCCATCCGCTGGCAGGCGCACGCGCTCGTGCTGAGCATCTACAGGTGCGTGTCGGCCGGCGTCGCGGCGCCCGGCGGGGCCTGACCGGCGGCCGCTGGTGCGGTGTGACGGGGCTGGGCGCAGACGCCGGCCAGTAAGCTGCGGTTTCTGCGCTCTTTCCGTCCAGAATCGGCTGGTTTGAGCGGAGGGGGTGGGGCGGTTGGTCACAGCTGGAGGCCTGCTATTTGCCGTCGCTTGTGGAGGGTTTTTGAATGGTCAGGCATGTTGGAACAGGCGGAGCAGGTTACAACTTCAGGGTGCGGGCCGCTGTTCACGTGGCCGTTTTGGACCTGCCACTGACGGCCGAGCGCGCGGTGCCCTCGGCGTCAAACTTATGTCGTCCCGCCCTCCGTCACGCGCCGCCCCTGGCGTCGGCAGGAGCGCCACCTCGGCCGACAAGGAGGCGCTGGTCGAGCTGATGTGGAAGCTGTGGCCGCTGCTGCCCTCGTACGGACGCAAGGCCGCCCAGTTCGTCGACCTGCTCGGCTTCATGTCACTGAAGACCACCGAGGCCGAGGATAAGGTGCGGCGTCGCGACCGGCCAGCTCTGTGAGGCCAGGCCGGGTCGAGTGGAGTTGAAGCTGTCCTGGAGGAGCCGGCAGGTCCACTCTCACCTCCGGTCGGGAATTGCTCACGCTTGTGCGGTGGAAGTTGTGACCATTGGGACGGTTGCGCGTTGTGCAAAACGTCCCCATCGCCGACACTGCAACGCGGCTATCACTGTGTGGTGCGTGCGTGCACACGTCTACGCTGACGCGTGGGTGATGTAGCGCAACCCAAGTTCGCTGACCGCCCCCCCCCCCCCCCCCGGCTCCCCTCGCGTGGCAGGTGTCGGCCTACATGGAGCACGCCATGGAGATGCTGCGCACGCAGAACCAGCAGCTGGCCAACCACGCCAACGGCCAGCTGTACGCCGGCTTGGCGGCGCTGGTCGAGTTCGACGGCTACTACCTGGAGTCGGAGCCGTGCCTGGTCTGCAACAATCCGGAGGTGGCCTACTCGCAGCTCAAGCTCTCAGGCGTCAAGGTGGGTGTGCGGCACGACCGGCGGCGGGCCGCGGTGACATGTGCGCAGCAGTGTGGGCTCTCTCAGCTACGGCGCCCGGCCTCGTCGCAAGGCCGTGTTGGTGCTGCATCTGTCATTTAGGGCAGCGTCCGTCCTTTCGTGACGTTGTCACTCGCGACGGGTGCTCGAACAGACACCGATTTTAACGTGGGACTGCAATCGCGCGGGCGTCCGACCTCCGGCGGCTTCCGTACATGCTACCGACGCGGGCACAACCACGGATCTGAGCGCTGGTCTCAGCCGTGTGTGGGGCGTGACGCCCGTGTGTGGGACGTGAGCGTGGTGCGCGCGCTCGTGCCGTCTCCGCGGTGGCGTGGCGCCCCGTCTGACGGCCGCGTGCCCGGGCGGCAGGTGGACTCGCGCTACACGACCACCACCCAGCTGGTGAAGCTGGTCGGCTCGCACACCATCAGCCGCGTCTTCCTGCGCATCGGCGACCTGAAGCGCAGCAAGATGGTGCGCACCATCAACGTCTACTACAACAACCGCACCGTCCAGTCGGTGGTCGAGCTCAAGAACCGGCCGTGTAAGTGAAGTTCCAGGGAGGGGGGAGGGCAGCGGCAGCGACTCGCAGGCTCTCTCAGACCGGGGCGGGTGCGCAGTGTCTGCAGTTGTGGTCCGGTCGTTGTGGCGATCGAGTGAGGGCTCGCCTGTGGATGAGAACTAGCACCGGTCAGTGCAGCTGTGGATGGGCTTGGCGACTGAGTCGGAGTCCCTCTCTTGTCTTCTTCCCTCTTCCAAGTCTTATCAGGTTTAGAATGCCTAGCATGTGCCCTCATGCATCTTGTGTCGGCACTATGACGCGTGTGTAATATTGCAGATCACCCACATAGACACAAAAATGTGTAATCTGTGAATTGGAATGAAAAAAAGAAAAAAATGGAATCTGTGAATCTGAAGCTCATTTCCAAGCCGTCTGAGCGGACCCCAATGATAGCACTCCACATGCGACGCGCGGCGCTCCGCATCATGAGCTGCACTCTTGTTCTGCGTGGATCGGATTCGTGCTGGCCATGTCCCGCCCCGCGCGCTTGGTTCGAACCTCGGGCCGGACGCTCGGGCCGCCGTCCGCCACACCGACACAACCCAGCCCGTGGTCTGACCACCTGCACCCCGTTCGCCTCCAGCCATGTGGCACAAGGCCAAGAAGGTGTCGCTGTCGGGCGGCCAGACGGACGTCAAGGTCGACTTCCCGCTGCCGATCGTGGCCTGCAATCTGATGATCGAGTACGCCGACTTCTACGAGAACATGCAGGTGGGCGCGGCGATGCGACCGGCGGCGGCTCGGCCGCGACGGAGGGCGGGTCTGGTGTTGGCACCGCCGCCCGGGGTTCACGTCATGCTGCGGTCTCGCTGAACGAAGCGGCGGCGTAGGCGTAGGCTGTGGGGAACGTGTGGTGAGCAGATCTGAACTAAATTATGCGTCCGCTGGTGTGTTTCAGTGGGAAAAGTCGGCTGAAAAGTGCGCTAGAAGGGCGTGGGGTGTGTGTGAATAGCCTTCCGAAAGGTAGTGGTGTCAATCCCTGTCCACTAATAAATTTCCATCCTCTGTATTGGCGGTAAAGTTTTTGCACAGAATGGGAGATATCGAGTACTACATCAGGTTGTGTGTCGAAACCTCGAAGGCAAGGCCCCGCCAGTGGAGCGATCGGAGCCGGGCTTCCTCGGCCGGTCGAGGAGCGCTGTCGTGCGTGCGTGTATGTCCTGACGCGCTGCGGCCGCCCGCTCCCCAGGCGTCCTCGGAGACGCTTCAGTGTCCGCGCTGCAGTGCCTCGGTGCCCGCCCACCCGGGCGTTTGCGGCAACTGTGGGGAGAACGTGTTCCAGTGCCACAAGTGCAGGTGAGGACGGCGTGTGAAGGCGGCGCATGGGGGTGGCGCTCCGGAGCTCGAGCTGGCGGAAGGCGGGCAGCCGGGCGCGGGTATGGGGCGGGGCTTGTCGCGCGGTGCAGACTGGTGCCCCATGCGTTTAGTCGTTTTTGCTTGAATCAAGACGCTGACGGAAGATGGACAATGGTACCTTAGGCGGCACATTTGAACCGATCACACCGATCACGCATGAATCGTCCCTTACATAACGTGAGCCGATGAGTGACTTCACTCACATCTACGAAACAACTGACGGCAGCCTTCCGGCACTGCCCGCCCGCCCACAGCATACTGTGAGAACTCTAACGCCGCGCACTGCTCGCACAGAGCCATCAACTACGACGAGAAGGATCCGTTCCTGTGCAACGCCTGCGGCTTCTGCAAGTACGCCAAGTTCGAGTACACGCTGACGGCCAAGCCGTGCTGTGCTGTGGACCCGATTGAGAGTGAGGAGGACCGCAAGAAGGCCGTCGTTAACATCAACGGCCTGCTGGAACGCGCCGACAAGATCTACAAGAAGCTCATGTCCTACAAGCCCACGCTGGAGGTACGGGGGGGGGGGGGGGGCACGACGGGAACGCGCGGAGGCTGTGGTGACGTGCCAGTGTCGCCGCGCGTTGTTGAGTGAAACAGGATACGTGTGGTTACGGGTGTGATGGGCGGGCGCTGGTGCTGGCTTGCGGTGATGACAGTGGAAAAGCGTGCAGCTGCGGGCAAAAAGATGGGCCGGCGGTATCGGTGCTCGAACGCGTGCCGTGCGGAGGACACCGCCGTCGTTGGTAGTGGGCTGATGTTTCCAGTCGTCCTGCAATGTAGCTGGCTCCACGCTGGCTGGGTGTAGCAGGGCACTGCCGGTGTGCTCGACGCCGGCTGCCGTTTCGCAGGCGCTGCTGGCCTGGGTGAACGACCACGGCGGCGAGGTGACGTCGGCGGCGGCGGCGGCGGCAGCGGCGGCCACCGAGCTGGCGGCCGGCGCCGCCGGCAGCCATGTCAGCCGGCCCATACAGCAGGTCGGTGGAGCGCGCGGCTGCCGTCAAGGCCCGCCGAGGGACATCTAAACGCGCGAGGCCAGCCAGTTACTGGAGCACTGATAGTTATGGCCATGTGCGCAATGCGAGACGACAGGCCGAGTGCTTTATTGGGGCCGGACACTTGTGCTCCAAACCTGGGCGGGACGTGATGGTCGTGATCGGAGAGTATGGCGGCCGCTTCGTCATGTCGGCCAGCTTGTGGCTTTGGATGAAGCATGCCGACAAGCGCGCATGGGCGTGCGTATTGTATCCCGTCGCCGTGTTGCCCCGTCGCCGTTGACTGAGATGGGAGTCAGCAAATAGAAGCTGTCGGCCTGATGTGGTAAGCTCGTCTTGCGTCCAGTGCAGTGGTCGCGCCCCTGACCTGAGCCCGTGTCACCAGCTGGCGCTCAAGTACTGCAGCGACTGCCGGCTGGCGTTCGACGACCTGAGCAAGGTCATCCAGAAGGTGCTGGCGTCGCGCCGCGAGCTGCTCCGCTACGACCGGCAGGCGCAGGAGGGCGCCGGCGCCGCCGCCGCCTCGGCGCCCGTCTTCTGTCAGGTGAGGACGCAGTGAGGACGGCGCCGCAGCGAGGACGGGACACGGCTGGCGGGATGGGGTCGGAGGTGAGGGGGATTGGGTCCAGGTGGCTGTGTGCGCTTCTGGGCGCCGGCTGGCTGAGACGTTGGAGGATCGTTGAACGGAGAGTGACTTTCGCAGAATTGGGATGCCAAAACTGGTCCTTGGGGTGCTGAATATTCTGTGTCATCGGGGCTTGTGGTGGAGTCGGTCTGTGGTTTCTTGACTACGTCAGGTCGTGCTTTGTCGTTCACCACCATCACCCATGCACAGCGCCTGCAGCATGACCCGTCGCCAATTTCACGCGGCGAAACTTGGACCCTTCATAGGCTGTGCGTTGTCGATGTGTGGACCATACGTGATTGTCGATATGTGGGCACCTACGTGATTTTACCGACTCTTTACCGACTCTTCGTACACATTAATAAGTAACCATCATGATTAAATTTAAATAGCTGATTTTGCGTCCATATGCATGTTGAGGGCAATCTAAAACTGTCACAGGATGAAGTTCCACTTTATGAAACCCACCAGACTGCCCCACCTTTCTGGAAGTGTCGACCGCGTCTAAGCCTCAGCTCTCGCCTCCGTCCGCCAGGAGACGGCCAGCCACGGCCGCTGCTACGGCTGCAGCAGCGCGTCGGCCGAGTGTTGCGTGACGCTGCTGCGCGCGCTGGCCACGAACCCGCGGCTGCGCGTCACGCTCTGCAGCTACGGCCTGATCCCGCAGCTGCTGGAGCACAACCTGCGCCGAGGCACGCCCCAGGTGAGCCGGCGTCTGTCACGTGTGTGCCGCTGTGGAGCGGGCACGTGGCGAGTGTGCCGGCATGGCCTGTGTCGACGCGTGCCATCGGTAAGGTCGCTTGCGGGGCCGCGGCCGAGCTGAAGTCCCATGATACCGCCGCACTCGCGGTCATTTGACGCATCGCGTGTGTGTCGGTGTGTCCGGAGCCGTGCGACCGTCCGAATGCGGCGGCGGGCTCGCGCTCCCTGACCCCCCCCCCCTCCCCCTTCCCTCCACAGAGCCGTGGCGAGGTGTGCCAGCTGCTCTGCCTGCTCACCAAGGACAACCTGTCGGCCACGCTGGAGCTGAACGAGCTGATCACGAGCCGCGTGCGGCTGGCGCTCTCCAGTGCCATGACCTCCGCCGGCGTGGCGGCCGCCGTGCGCCACGAGATGGCGCTGCTCAGCGCCGCCGTCCAGAAGGAGGACTCGTGCTGGGAGCACCGGCTGAGGTCGGTTCGCCGGTGGCGGCGGCGGAGGGGGCGAGGCTGGGCCAGAGAAGGACGGCACGGGGCGAAGTGGGAGGGACGGGAATGGTGCGGGAAGGCATGCGATGGGGTTTGGGGAGGACACGGTTAGGGTTGGTTAAGGTAAGGCGGAAAAGGGTGGAGGACGGCCGGAGACACGTACTTCTGGCTCGACTAGGCTTGGCTGAGCTTTAGAGTTAGCTGCAGCTGCATGGTGCTTCAACTTGTCTTTCTCGCCGGCTGCTGCCACAAATGGCTTGAACGTGTGGACGTGACGTTGAACGCGGTCGATGGAGCCAATCAAGGCGCGTCAGATGGGCAGAGTGTCCAGCCACGCCCTGCCAGCTGCGACTCAGTCAGTACCGTGCCCGAGCAAAAACAGCTCCGTCTCTGAGGACGCGGGGCGGTCTGCCATCGGCGGCGAGCCGGCTCCGTTGGCCCGGACCTCAGCGACGTTCGCAGCGTGCTGCCGCGCGACGGCTCCCAGTGCTCACCGCGGCCTGTTACACGTTTGCCGGCTGCGCGCGACGGCCGGCGCGGGCGCGCTCCGAGAGGCGCCGCGTCTGACGGGGCATCCCCGCGCAGGTGTGTGGTTCGCATCTTCATGATGGCCGGCAAGGAGCACAAGAACCCGGTGGTGATCGAGTCTGTGACGCTGCCCTGCCTCAAGATCCTGCAGGGCGTCATGCAGCCGCCGACAGCCACCGCCGCCGCCGCCGCCGCCGCGCCGCAGCCGGGCACCTCCGCCGGTGCGGCCGCCGCCAAGGTAGGACGAGCCGCGGTCAGGTGGGCTGAGATCTCAGCGGAGAGGCAGACGCCGGCGAGGAGACGTTCAGGACAGGCTAGGAGAGAGTGCAGGCGCCTCTAGGTGGGCTTGGAACAAAGGATGACCCCTTGCTTCAGGCCGACCCAGGTCGTGATTAAGGGCACCAGAGTTTAGTGATAGACTCTTACACGGAACAGTTCATGTGAAGGATGTTCATTTGGGTTTTAAATGGTTTTGCTGTGTGTGTGCGTGTGGATGCGTGTGTGTGTTTCTTCACCCAAGCATGAAAGCAAAGTTGTCGCACGGCATTTGTCCTTGTTTTGGGAATAGTCCTCGGCGATTGGGTACCCCATCCTGCCACCCCGCTCGAAACATGGTCGGACAGCAAAATAAATGCACTAAGTGCCGCTCATGCAGGACGCCATTCGACGTCAAAGTGTTACCCTTATGCTGTGTCAAGAGTTGCCAAGAAAATGGCAGGACATGTTTGCCAGGAGTGTCTGAAGGCATGCACAAGGACAAATTCCATTCAATTTCGATGGCCGCCAGTGGTAACCCTTAGCACGATCTTGTATACGTGTATTTGCTGTGATGACCATTATGTTGCTGATCATCCTCTAATACTTGAGCTACACTGGCCAATTGTAATGAAATATTGGCATACCACTATCGCTCATAACCACTGCCAGTCTGCTGAATGGAGGGTCAGTGACGGCCTCAGGCTTGGGCAGACAGATCATCAGCGCGCTCACACTATACTTATTTTCAAGCCTGCGCCTCATAACCGCCATCATCGATTCAGCGCGGCAGAACAAACTGCCAAACACACTGTTGTAACATGCTGTTGGTGTTAATATTGTTCAGTTGACGGGTCCCCCCACGTGCAAGTATCATCAGTCCAGCCAGGTGTGGGGGGCGGGGGAGGGGGGGGGGGGGGGGGAGGCGCTTTAATGAGGTCTAGGTTTACGGGTAAGTGCAGCCGTTTCTAAGCCCCTGCTGCGAATCCGGACGCCGGTCTTGCCCTGTGATTGGCCAAATGAAGTGTTGTCGCAGCCTGCAAAGCCGCAAAGCTCCGGTTGTCGCGACGATTTACCCGAGGAATCCTTTTAAAAAAAATAACATACTCTGCACTGTTTCTATTATTTCTGTAGTCGCCAGCCAGCGTCAGCAGCTGACGGCTACAGCGTCAGCAGCGTCAGCAGCAGCCTGTCAACGCTTTAGATGATCACAGGGCACTGGTCATAGTTACATGGTCACGTTGGTTCTGAGACATGAGCGCTGTCCGCGGGGGCAGCCACCACTGGCGCGCTTCAAGGACGAGATCTCAAGCCAATACGGCTGGACGCGCTAATGCTGATCCACTGTTGACATAGCCGGCTTCGCGGGATGTTCACGCCCATTGTACGGCCGCCCCAGGCTTGCACAAGCATAACGAGGTCAAAAACTCCGCCCAGTGGAGGCATGGACGAGCGCCAGGAGGCCATGGCCCCCACCCTGCCCCGATTGGTGGATGGCGGAACCAAAGCAGGTCATGTCCCGCTCTCCCGACACGAGAGCTTCGCATGCGCACGGCTACGCGCGCGGTGCTGATAGACCGTCACTCGACACCACACTCGGTGGATGGCCGTCTTTGGACCCCTCTGCCCAGAGTTCGTGACCTTGGTTACAGATTGTCGGTCACGGGGGAGGTCGAAGCTTTCAGTGCTGGTGACAGGATTTGCCCGCGTGCGTGCATTTGGCTGCCCCTGCCAAACGGTGCTCTCGTTTTTCTGGGAAAGTCGTTTTGACTCAGGGTATGGTAAACATGTTGCCGTCAAGTGGCCGTTTGCGTGAGTGGCCCTTGGCGTCTTTGTGTGATCCTGTCCTGTTCAACTGGCCTTAGCTGGATGTGTGGAGACAGGCCCGGACTACATGACCGTTTCTATGGCGCGGACTCAGTCCCCCGCCCGCATGCGGCCGTAATAACTGGGCAGCTACTGTGTCTTCCGTGAACATTGTGCAGCGCAAACAAGCGGCTCCATTAGGCGGTAAGACTATTTGCTTAGCGGCAGTGAAGCTATGCGACTGGGCGGCTTCCGTTGGTACAGTTTGGACGCGTTTTAAGTGCTCGAGTGGCATTAAAAAATTGAGCTGCGTTTGCTATGGTGGCCGCCTGAGGTGCGCTCGCTCAGACGCCGTAGCCATCGGCTTTGCATCGGCTCCGCCCGTACGGTGTATTGTGTCCCAAGCCGTTCCGTCATTCGCTCGGCAAATATGGTGGTATTCGTCGGCGCATTCAGCGCGGTAATTCAGTTGTATGGCTTTGTGCCCACACGACCGGCGGATGTCCGCTCTGTGGAGCGCTAAATTTCGCTCCGCCGTAATCCTACGTCAGTTTTTGTAGCTCACCAGGCTGGTGTGGTGAGAGTAGCCACTTTACGGAAGTGGCGCTTATACTCGTCGAGTGTCGGAGCTGTGGGGATTGAGTATCTCGCAGTGAATCGCCTTCCCCTGATCGGTCTGTTGAGACGACCGGCCGTCGATAAACAGTATCTTTTTCCTCGAGTAGTATTACCTTTTTTCCTCGGGTAGTATTATCGTTTTGGGAGGCATCGCCTTCAGACCGTTGCTCTCAGTGTCCAAGGCAGCGGAGCGGGCACATGCTACGTTGTCTGATTTTGTGCTTGGCTTGCACTAACACCGCGCTGTTCTGGTGTGCTGCCAACAAGTGTTCGTGGGGAGTATGATACTTGTTGCTTATTTGTGCATACTCTGAATATTTGACATAGTTCCTTGAGATGTGGACACGGGCGCAAACAGTCATCTTAGTTGACGTGACCCTAAAGCCCAACAACTAACCACAAACTCACAGAAGCCTATTGCGCTCGCTGCGCCCATCTCCGACAACGATGGTGCTCTCCAGTCTTGTGCGGACTTTTCCCCATCTGTTGTCCCTCCCTGGTCGTGCTAAGTTCAGTCCCCATTGCACCCACATGGGTCGTTTCCGTCCGTCCAAGGTGCGGCAGACCAACTACCTGTCGCAGACATGTCGCGTGACGACTTTGGTACGTGATTTCGACCAATCGCCATCTCGACCGGCGTGGGCGACGGCCGCCGAAGGAAGTCAGCGGGCATGTATGGGAGTTGTGGGCACCCGGTTCTCATCTGTTCCTCGCGAGCGACGCATGTCTGCTGACCGGTCCGTGACACCGACGGACCCTCTGTCTGACAGTGTGCCCCCCCCCCCCCGGCCGCGCGGGGTCCTCCCTCGGCCGGAGCGCGCGCGCGTGCGTGCATGCGTGCGTGCGTGCGTGTGCTCGTCAGCGGCCGGCTGCCCGTCAGCTGACCTGACGTGTGCGGGCCGCTCCCCAGCCGGCGTCCACGTCCGTCACGGCCGGCGAACAATCGGAGGTGCACCTGAACGCCGCGCGCTGGCTGGAGCAGGCGCCCGGACACTCCTTCGACGCCTGGAGGTCGCGCAAGGTCAAGCGGGGCCGGGAGCCTGCCAAGGGCGCCTCGGTAAGCACTGCGCGGGGGTCGCCAGCCCGGGCTTCGAGTGTGGCCGCCGCGGATGCCGGCTGACATGGCGTGGTCCGGGGAGACAGTGTTAATTTGGCTGGCGGTGTGCGCGCCTGCTCAGTGCGATCGGTTGTTGCCGGCATTTGACGGGCGACCGGGGAGCTGGGACACGCGCCTCCCACTAGGCCTCCTCAGGGACGGCCCGTCCAGCACTCCGCACAGTGGTGTCAGCCCCTGCCGTCAATTGCTACACGTATTGTTACTTCACGGCTGTAGCAGTTCACGTCCCGTACGCGGTTACCACGCGAATGGACAAGCGGCGGCTAGCCCCGCGCTGTCCTCAGCCCGCCGGCGTGGTGCCCTTGTTGGATGTGTCCCGCCGTCCCCCTCCCCATGCGCCCCTCCCACACGCGCGCTCTACTCGCCAGAGGGCGGAGGTACGCGCCCTGTTTCTGATGGAGAAGTACGGCCGACGCTGGCGGCAGCGCACCACCCAATCGGCCATCGCCGTCAACTTCCTGGACACGTCGTGGCTGCGGCGGGTGCTGTTCAGCCCTAGTTCGCGCCAGGCCCGCCAGGTGGCAGCCGATATGGTGGAGACGCTGGCGCACGAGCCGGCCAGGAAGCGCAGGGTGAGTGGGACCGGCGGTCAGGGGACGGAGGTGGGTCAGCAGGGGTCACGGCACTGCGAGCTGGTGTCAGTAGCATGTGGAGTCGGCAGGCTTCGGTGATTTGTTGTTTTAAAAATACAGATGAAGAGGAATGTGGTCAGATCCATGGGAAACTGAATAAAAGGTGTTGCAACTGTATCGGTCAGGCGAAGTGATTTGTCATGGAAACTTGTTATTTCCATTGTCATCTGGCGTCGTCTTCCTCTAATTTTTGTTAAGACCAAGGAGTGCGATTTAACGCAAACCTACAGATACCATTGCTTGGACGCTCTTTTCGCGACGACCGTTTTCGCCACTGGCGACCGAATCCAGGGTGTCGCAGCTGCCCTGTGTGCTGACGCCGCCGCCTCCGCAGATCCTGGACATGCTGGCCTCCTACCTGGGCGACGTCAGCGAGGCCGGCGAGACGGCCGCCGAGTTCATCGGCCTGTACCAGAAGCTCATCAATGCCAACCACTGGAAGTACTACCTGACGGTAGGTGGGGGGGGGGGGGGGGAGCGTGGCAGGCGCCAGCCCAGCGGCGAGCGTGCTTCATTCCCTGCACTTCCCGAAGGAAGACGGAAAACCGTGCTCCGTTCGGCGATCTTCTTCCGAAGTTGTGGGTCATAGACTCGGGTCATCTTCAAAATGTCCTTCCTGGCTTGTTTGAAGCCACATTGCGGCACAGTGTGATGTGGGTGAGTAGGCTATTAGCACTACTAAACACTCACAAACCGGTTGGCATTTCTGGTTTCCCGTCGCCGTCGTCCAGTTAGTTTGGTCCTTTTGACTGGTTTGAGTTATTGCAGCCTCTTGTTTCTCAACTTGCGTAACAAACCAGTCTCCTGTGTGTCACGTTCTTATCGATAGTGTTTTCCTAAGCTTGGTCGCTACTGATACGTTATTACTGTATGACGAAGTCATCTTATAGTCCAGAAGCCACAAAGCAAACTGCCCAATACATCAATTAGGGCACAGAGCAAGCTTCAGCTGCTAGGTGGACGCAGTACGAATTATTCGTCGTGAAACTGGAATGAAGTATACTTAAACTTATTCCGATTTATTAACACCGAAAAGCTCCGAATCCACATATCTAAGGCACGTCTTTCAGTAGCCGCGGAACTTAACACCATGCAATACAAGCAAACGTAACAACGCGACCGGCGGAAGAGTTTGCGCCACACGATGCAAGCAAAAGTAACAACGCGACCGGCGGAAGAGTTTGCGCCATACGATGCAAGCAAAAGTAACAGCGCGACCGGCGGAAGAGTCCCAAAGTGCTCTGGCAGTGGCCTGCTTTAACTTGGGTGGTAGCTGTGGCGTACGTGCCAGACGCGACATTTCTGTCGCACGTTTGCGTAAAGTGCGCCTCCATTCCTTGCCGGAGAGCGCGACTCGGGAGGCATCTGCTCGCGTGTGTGGCAGACGCGGCGTTTCCGTCGCGCGTTTGCGTGAGGTGCGCGCCCGCGCCTTATCGGACAGCCCGGCGCCGTATGCATCAGGTGTGCGAGCGGCGCCGTACGTCGTGCGTCTTGTGCCCCAGCCGAGCAGTCGGCAGCGCCGCTGCCGCCGCCGCCGCTGCCGCTGCCGACGCCGCCGCTGCCAGCCGGTCGCTCTCCCTCGCTCCGCGACTACTGGGCCAGCGCGGCGCCGGCCGCGACTGGGTGGACCGGCGTGAGCTTCGCCTTGACCGGCTGCCGACGGCGGCGGCAGCGGGCGACCAGCGTGCGCAGAGCACCCTCCAGCAGCTGCACGGCCGAGACCACGGACAGGCCGAGCAGCAGGCCGAGGGAGCCGCCCAGGTCGGAGAGCAGGTCGTTGCCGATGTAGCTGGCGCGCTCTCGGATGAGGTCGGCCACGTACGGCCAGGTGACGCTGACCACCGAGCTGTTGTCCCGGAGCAGGCTCTCGGAGGTGATAAGCTTGGTCACCTGCAGCTGGTAGGCGGTGGTGGTGCAGGCGGCCACGCAGCGCTGCGGGCAGACGTCCGGCTCGGGCACGCTGAAGTCCTTGGACAGCAGCGGCACGAAGGTGCGCGAGTTCGCGCAGAGCGGCACGGACGCGTCGCTCCACGGCGGCCTGCAGCCGACGACGCGCGAGCGCTCGGCCCAGCGGCAGAGCACGAGGCAGCGCGGCCGCGAGTAGCCGGCGTCGGCGCGGCACGGCCGCCGCCGCAGCGACAGCAGGTGCCGCTGCCGCGCCGACAGCCGCAGCTGCACCACCTCGCCGGCGCGCACCGTCAGCGACGGCGTCAGCTCGGCGTCGTCGAAGTCAACGTCGACGATGGGCGTGGCGGCGCCGTGCACGAACAGGTCGACGTTGGACGTCGCCGTGCGGCCCCTGTAGCCCTGGATGGTGTAGTCGGCCGGGTCGCTGTGCAGCCGCAGTGTCAGGCGCTTCTTGCGGTTGAAGACCATCGGCCCGCTCGGCGTGAAGGTGTAGCAGAGGCCGCGCCGGTACATGCCGAATGTCCAGTTGCCCTGCGGCGTGGTGTCCTGCCGGTCTTGGCTGGGCTTGCACAGCGGCCGGTTGCAGTCGCGCACGACCGAGCGCAGCGTCGGCGCCGCCTTCACCCAGAACTCGTCGATGCGGCGCTGGCCCCAGGGGAAGGTGCTCCACTTGATGGCGTTGCCGGCGCGGTTGAGGGCGTGCCAGGCGCGCGCCACGGTCCGGTTGAACTGGTTGCTGTCGCAGACGGTGAAGGCGGGGAACGGGGCCTCCTTCAGCCCAGAGATGATGTCCATGTCGACCGCCACCGGCTCGTCCAGGTACCGAAGCACGTGCTGACGGCACTGGAACGGCGGCCGGCGCGTGAGGGCGCCACGCTTGGTCGAAATAAGCCGGAGAGCTGCGTGGGGGAGGTGGAAGTGAGGCGGCAGGCGTAGGTTTTTTTGTGATTTAAGTCTTCGCTGATCTCGTTCCTTGCATATTCTTTGGTTTTGTCACAGCTTGTGATTCAATGCTCGGAGCTGCCGTTTGGAATCTTATAGCATTTTGTTTTAGATTGAATACGTAAATACATGCCTTTAAAGCCAGCTGATATTGGAGAAATTGAAAACTGCAAGACGTTACCACAAATGTGATTTACCCATTCGCCATGAAACTCTGTAACCATGGTATGGAAATTGTGTTTTGAGGACAAGTCGGCCAACAATACATCTTGCGGAATAGGAACCTTGCATAAGCTGGTGTTACGTATACATCTGTGATGCATCATTGGCCGTGATCGTCGTGCCTCAAATGCCTGGATGATAAACCTCATCTTATTTCTAGGGTTGTCATGTCTGTCGTGTGTTTGATCCATGTACATGATGCATGCCGAGCCAGCGGTGAAGGTCATTGTGTCACGGTGCGGCAGTATGTGGGCTTCATTGCGTCAGTTTGGTTGTGCAAAACGTTTGCATTGTTCCATTCAAGTTTATATGATACTTTAGGTTAGTTAGAGGTTAGGTTGGTGTATCCTATTTTGATTAGGTCGTAATCAACATGTAGCGTCTCAGGTACTGAGGTACTTAGGCACTCAGGTGCTTATGTCGTTTGGAGAGGGGGGGGGGGGGGGGGGCTTGTGGCTGAGTGGGTGGCCCTTCGGCTCTCACATGAGGGAGGAAAAGGGGAGGGGGAACAAGAGGGCGACAACGACGCCGGCCGCATCCCCCTTAAGAGAAACGCTTGCGTATGACGTGTGGGGCGTCGAAGGTCACGTATCACAAGTTTTACTGACAACATGGTTGCCTTATGTTCGCATTGTCGTACTCAACGCCCTTCACGTCTCATACATACTGGCGACTGTTGTGCTTGCCAAGATTATGTGTTCCGGGGCTTCGCAAAGGTCACTGCGGTGCCGACATGGCGCGCGACGCCGGAGCGCGGCCCATCTCGCGCTCCGGAGCCTCAGTCGGCGACGGCCGCCTCCCTGGCCCGTCCCGCTCACCTGCATGGCGAACAGCACACTGCAGGCGGCGATGAGCACCAGGTAGAACAGGACGAGCATCGGTGACCTGTCGGCCCCCGCCATGTCGTCCGCTGGCGCCGCCGTCCTCTCGCCACCGGCGTCGGGCCCCGCCTGTCCGCCGCTGCCACGCTCCCCCCGTTTTGTACGGCGATCCGCCGCCGGCGGCTGGGGCGCCATCGACTCCGGCGCGGCTGCCCGCTCGGGCGGGCGGCGCGCCGCCGCGGCCCCCGGCGCGTCGGTAGGTTTTGCGGCGGGGGCGCCGGTAGGCTCCCGCCGCCCGGCGTTGACACACGACGGCCGGCGCCGCGGGGTTCGGACGCCGGCGGCCGCTGCCGGCGCCGGGTAATGGCGGTCGTGGTCACGGCAGGTGCTCGCGGACTAATTAGGTGGCTCGTCCGACCTCCCGCGCGGTGGCACCACGTCCTCGCCGACTCTTTGAGCGCCGTCCGGACACTGGGCACTGACAGAGCAGCAGAGCCCACCGGCGGCGCGGCTTGTTGACCCGGGCCTGCTGGGCGACCGGCCAGCGGAGCGAATGGAGCACGCGGGACACGAGTCGAGGGCAATACAATGGCTGTGTACTCAATGTCTTCCTTTCCTAATTGGCTGTCTGGTGGAAAAGCGATGATTGATGATCGGATGTAGACTGTACACGGGTATAAAAATAGCGTGCTTGAACTTGAATACGTAGAAAGGCTAGCTAATTGCCGATTATTCCTATATATATATATATATATATATATATATATATATATATATATATATATATATATATGACGTGGTGTCAGTCACTCGCCAACCTGAACCTGAACCTGAACCTGAACCTGAACCTGAACCTGAACCTGAGCTTCGCCGGGCCCACCTGCATGGCGCCGGCTTCGCACGTGCGCGGGCTGCAGTCGTTCGCACGTCCGGCAGTCTCTCTGCGCCGCGTCGCAAACGCGCCTGATGACTCCACGCCCGCTGCGTTCCAGACCAAGGGCATCCTGGGGCTGCTGGCCGACCTCATCACCAAGGAGATCGAGAGCCTCAACAAGCTGGAGGAGACGACTCTCAACAGTGATTTGTCTCAGGGTGAGTTCGCTGTCGGGCGGTGTCGGAGCGATTCATCACCGCCTGCGGGGCTGCCGTTTCGGGGCGGCGTCCAGTAGCTACAAGCGCGTCTGTGGTCGCATGCAACCGACGGAGCTGAGACGCCACAGGATGTGCCGCAGACTTCACCATAGCTTACACGTGACCCTCAGCATAACTGTGCCACCGGAAGCGCGTAGTGATAGTTGACAATACATTTATAGCCCGACACTACAGACTGTAAAGGATCGCTTTCGAGTGGGCGCAAAATGACCTCGATGCTGACGCGCCATTAACCATCAAACCTCCACCTTGAAGCTTCTGCGTTGTCAGTGAAGGTATAGGGCGCGCGGGATCTGTATTGTGTTTATTATACACATATACTTAAATGACATGTGTTATTGGGTGCTTCTGGTCATGCTCGCCACGACGTCAGTGTTGTATAACGATAAAAATAGAAGGGTAAGAAATAATATAGGAATAGAAATGCATATAACAGATAATAATATAATAGGTAATATGATAGGTAATAGGGCAATAAGCAAAATAGGTAATAGGTAGGGTAATATAAAAGGTAAGAAACAGACAGGACAGAAAGAAATAGACAGAAATAGACAAATCGACGTCAGCTGACCCTCGGCCATCTCCGCTGGCGGCAGGGTACGCGCTGAAGGAGCTGACGGACCTGCTGGCCTCCTTCCTGGAGCTGGAGAGCGTGCGCAGCCGGCACAAGGCGCGCCTGCTCGGCACCGTGCTGCACGGATACCTCTCGCTGCGCCGGCTGGTCATCCAGCGCACCAAGCTGGTGGACGAGACGCAGGAGCGCCTGCTGCAGCTGCTGGAGGACATCACGTCCGGTGAGTCGGGCCGTCGCGCCAGAGGCGGAAGGCCCAGTGATGGTGCCGGCCGTCCTGGCGACCGCGTGCGTCGGCACGGCGTGCCGTGTCTAGTCTGCAGTCTGTGACGCATGGCGCCGGCCGTCCTGGCGACCGCGTGCGTCGGTACGGCGCTCTGTGCCCAGTCTTCGGTCTGTGTCGCATAGCGCCGGTCGTCCTGGCGACCGCGTGCGTCGGTACGGCGCTCCGTGTCCGGTCTTCATTCGGTGCCGCTGTTCAGGCTTTGTCGGCCAGCCAGTTTTTGTAACGCTTGGGGTGATCTATAAGACTGCACCGTGGGACAAGGCCATTTCGAGTTTGGCGCAGTCTCCCGCCCCTGAGCCCGATGCGCCGCCGCCGCGAGTCCCGTGCGCGCGCGCTCGCTGCCCGCCAACCCGGCCGCTCGCACTCTGCGCGCGCGTGCCCGACCTGACCACCCTGGCCGGCGGCCGGCAGGCACCGAGGCGGAGACGCGCCGGTTCATGGCCATCTGCGTGGAGACGGTGGCGCGCTACGGCCGCGGCGACGTGCGCACGCCCGTGTTCATCTTCGAGCGGCTGTGCTCCATCATCGAGCCGGAGGTGAACGAGATCGGGCCGTTCCTGCTCAGCCTGGAGAAGGACCCGCAGCAGGAGGACTTCCTGCAGGTGAGACGCGTGCCACCGGCCGCCATCCTGGGGCGCTGTGGGGGCTGTCGGCGCCCCGCGGGCTCACGAGCTGCTCTGGGGGACGCTGCGTTGGGACATATGTGATTAGCTGTCCAGTTGAGTGGCTGGAAACGCTCTAACTTTGGAACGTGTGCGCGTGATGTTGGCCTCGGCGTATCGCCATCGGCGTCTTCATCGCATGGTGCTGACACTGGTTCAGCATCTCGGAGCGTTCGTAGCCACGTACCGGGGATGGAGCGAACCGACACGCGCCCGGCGCGAGGGTAGGCTGGCGGCCGCTGACCGCCGTCCTGTCCGCCAGGGTCGGATGGTGGGCAACCCGTACCCGTCGACCGACGCCGGCATGGGCCCGCTGATGCGTGACGTCAAGAACCGCATCTGCCGCGACTGTGAGCTGGTCGCGCTGCTCGAGGACGACACCGGCATGGAGCTGCTGGTCAACAACAAGATCATCTCGCTGGACCTGCCCGTCAAGGAGGTGAGGTGACGCCGCCGGCGGACGGTGGGGCGGTGCGCCCGGCTGCCCGGCATGGAGCGGGCCCTGGGGTCTCTGGCAGAGTTACGTTTGGTGAGACTTGATCTCCATGTCGGGCACCTGAAAAGCGAGGTGGGGGTAACTGGCGGTATCCCCTTACCATTGTATTTGTACCGAAATTTCGAATATACCTATAGCAGGTGTGGATTGACTTGTTTGACTTCGAACACCGTTATGATAACATTGCCATGAGTCTCGGTGGGAGTGCCGGGTGCCCACATATCAGCGTGACGGCTCCGGCTGCGCGTGCCGCCTGTAGACTGGTGTGAGGCCGGTGACCCTGACACGTGATCGCGCCCACCAGGTGTACCGCAAGGTGTGGCTGCCGTCGGCCAGCAGCGACACGGAGCCGATGCGGATCGTGTACCGGATGCGCGGCCTGCTCGGAGACGCCACCGAGGAGTTCATCGAGTCGCTGGAAACTAAGACGGACACGGATCGCGACGACGAGGAGACCTACCGCATGGCCAACGTCATGAGCGACTGTGGCGGCCTCCAGGTGCGTGGTGTGCTGGCTTTGGTGTAGAACACTCGGCCAACTGTAGCCGCTAAGGTTCCAGGCATGCTGGGCATCTCTAAAGCTGTACAAGTTACACACCACTGAAGCGCAGCCCGTGTTCCACAGACTGTGATACGTCTCCACCCGTCATAATCGTCCCACCGGCGTGACCTTTTTGACGCCACAAGAGCAGCGACTGACTGTGTCAGTGGCTCCGCGTCACCACCGCCGGTCCCCAGCCCTCGACCCGCCCGGACGGCGCCCCTCTGGCTGTTGCCCCCCACCGGCCGCCCCTCACCGGCCGCCCCTCTGGCGGCCTCCCCTCGGGCGGCCTCCCCTCGGGCGGCCTCCCCTCGGGTGGCCTCCCCTCACCGGCCGCCCCTCACCGGCCGCCCCTCCGACGTCCTCCCCTCGGTCGGCCTCCCCTCGCCCGTCGCCCTTCACCGGCCGCCCCTCTGACGTCCTCCCCTCGGGCGGCCTCCCCTCACCCGCCGCCCCTCACCGGCCGCCCCTCTGACGTCCTCCCCTCGGGCGGCCTCCCTCACCCGCCGCCCCTCACCGGCCGCCCCTCTGATGTCCTCCCCTCGGGCGGCCTCCCCTCACCCGCCGCCCCTCACCGGCCGCCCCTCTGACGGCCTCCCCTCTGGCGGCCTGCCCTCACCGCCGGCGCCGGCCGTCGACAGGAGCTGCTGCGCCGGATGGAATACATCGACGACCTGCAGCGGTGCCGTCCGCTGCTGACCGTGCTGCTCCGGCTCACCGGGCTCTGCATCAAGACCAAGCGGAACCGGACGGCGCTGACGCGGCCGGAGCTGCGCGCCGTGGCCGTCATGCTGCGCCTGCTGGCGCTCTGCCTGCGCGCCGACCCGGAGCTGGTGGCCGGCCCGCCCGGCGGGCCCACCGTCACGCAGCAGCTGCTTGAGGTCAGGCCGGGTCACTGGCGGGGGGGGGGGGAGGGCGACTGACTGGTGCTGGGCGCTGTGGAGTCGTAGTATTCCCCGGATACTGGCTGTTGAAGTTTTTTTTTTTTGGGGGGGGGGGCGGGCAGATTTAGCGCTGGTGGGTTGTGCTGCCAGCTGTTGGTGTGAACAGTGCCTGCTAAGTGGAGATGTGACGAGACGGCAGCGGCCCAAGGTTAGCTTGGTGGGCAGCGCACCTGCTTGCGGTTGATAGCGGTTTGTGTGTGGGTGTGTGGGGGAAGGCGCGGCAGCTTATCATTGTGTTGGCGATGCAGCTTTGTGGAGGGGGGGGGGGAGGAGGGGGCAGTGTAAGTGCGACTTGGCAGATGCTCGCCGCGTTTGCGAGGCGGGCGGCACTAGTTGGAGACACTGGCTGCATTGCGGCCTTCGTGGGCGTACGCCTCAGACAGAGACCAGAGCAGCCGCGGCCCCGCCCCAATCTCCAGCTCCATGTGACCGCTCACGCCCCCGCGGGCGGAGCGGCACGTCTGGCCGCCGGCCCTCTGACGCGCTCGTCTCGCTCCGCGTCGGCAGATCATGGCCGTGGTGCTGGCCGAGGCGACGTCGCTGGACCTGGACGTGTACCGTCGGTTCGCCACCACCTGCGGCTCGGTGGACGAGATCCGGCTGCTGCTGTCGCACGTGAACACGGCCCAGGTCAGCGGTCGGGGCCGGGGCGCCGGCACGGGCGGCACGTTTGTGGCGCGGTGCGCCGAGGTCGTAAGCGGCGTTGAGGGGTGCTCCTGCTTTCGGCTGCGACGTCTGGCGGTGTCCCCAGCTGTACGGTGCGCGTGGGAATGAACTGGGCTGATGGCGCATGTAGTTCAGCTTGGGTACATTTATCTCACTAATGTAACAATACCGGCTGGTGCTGCCTAATTATAAGTAAAACGTAGAAAACAGCGTTTATTTATTATATTTCGGTCGTCCGTGGTGCCGCCCGTTGTGCCTTACCCGCTGGACCCCTCGCCTGGCACCAGTGACGACGCCGTCGTCGGCCGCTGGTCCGACCGCCCCGCTGACCTGAGCCTCCCTGTGCCGGCAGAGCAAGGGCGCCGGCGCGCTGCTGCAGCAGCTGATGCGCGTGCTGCCCTTCCTGACGTTCGGCTCGCAGGAGAAGATGCGCCTGCTCATCGACCACTTCCAGCCGGTGCTGGACTTCGACGAGCTGGATGCGCAGCACACGGCCGAGGCGGCGGCGCAGCTCGAGTCGCTCTGCGCGCTCACTGCCGGCATCGAGACCAACTGCATGGGCAACCAGCTCAAGGACATGTTCGTCGAGGCCGGCGTGGTGGAGCGCGCGCTGGCCTATCTGCGCGATCACGCGCCGCCCGGCAAGAAGGCCCTGCTCAACACCAACGACGAGCAGTGGAAGAGCTTCCTGGCGCGGCCGGCGCTCAACTACGTGCTGCGCGTGCTGGCCGGCCTGGCCACCAAGCACGAGCCGACCCAGCTGGCGGTGGCGGCTGAGAGCATCCCGATCATCCACCGGCTGGAGCAGGTGTCGTCCGACCAGCACGTCGGCTCGCTGGCCGAAAACCTGCTGGAGGCGCTGCGCACCAACCGCCAGGTGGGGCTGCTGCCGAGACGGAGGGGGAGGGGAAGGGGCGGACCTACGGTCAGCCAACGGGCACATCTGTGAATGAGACGTTCAGTTCTCCATTGTGACCGTGCAAATGTATGGTCGTGTTCCTTTTCCGTGCCTTTGGTGGCACGAAGCTGTCTTTGTCGGATCGCAACTGACGTGGAACGAAATCCTTTGCGGTACGGTGCCTCGCCCGTCGACTGACATTTGATTTGCCCGCGTGTTCAGCAGACGTGTGATATGTGGCTGCATGAACCCGACCCAGTCCCTCACCGTTTCGCCGCGTCGCCGCCAGGTGGCCACCAAGATCGAGCAGGTGCGCAAGCAGACGCGGCAGGAGAAGAAGCGGCTGGCCATGGCCATGCGGAAGCACCAGCTGGGCGCGCTCGGGATGCGCGCCAACGACAAGGGCCAGGTGGTGATCAAGTCGTCGGTGCTGCGCCAGCTGGACGACATCAGCGACGAGCAGGGCCTGACGTGCGTCATCTGCCGTGAGGGCTACAAGTTCCAGCCCACCAAGGTGCTGGGCATCTACACGTACACCAAGCGCTGCCCGCTGGACGACGCCGAGCCCAAGCAGCGCAAGACGATGGGCTACACGACCGTGACGCACTTCAACCTGGTGCACGTGGACTGCCACATGGCGGCGGTGCGGCTGGCGCGCGCGCGCGACGAGTGGGAGTCGGCGGCGCTGCAGAACGCCAACACCCGCTGCAACGGCCTGCTGCCGCTCTGGGGGCCGCAGGTGGCCGAGTCGGCCTTCGCCCACTGTCTGGCGCGCCACAACACGTACCTGCAGGTCAGTCGTGGCGCGCTCCGGCGGGCGCGAGGGGGCGCTTTGTCCGGCGCGTCACGGGATAGGCGAGCGGGCCGGTTAAGGGTGAGGGTGGGCTGTTGTGGTGAGGGGGCCGTCGTCAGGCGCGTGAGTTCGTGCCTGGTAGTCAGTCGTGGTACGCTCTGACGGCGAGGTAGACGCTTAGTCACCCCCGCCGGCACATCAGCTGACTCCGGAAACGTAGGGGGAGGGGGCTCCTCATGGTTCGGTGGGTACGTTGGTGCATGTTGTTTGGTCTGGTAGATGGGCTGAGGGAGACGTGGCAGGCATATTTTTGTGGGCTGGTGAGTGGGCCGGGAGAGACCGGGCGGTGGGATGTCTGGGTGCGGCGTCGGCCACAGGCAACTAGGCCGTTGCCGCGGTGGCGCGTGCCTGGCACCTCCCGTAGTTTCAGGATTTTGAATAGGAAGCAAGCCCAGCGGTAGTCAGGAATCCTGACCTAGTATGGTCTAAATAGAACCTAGCTGCGCGCTTCTGTTGTGGAGTATGAGCCCTGCCAGACCGTCTGATTCTGGCTTCCAAACGCCACGATTTAGATCGCTTGCCCCGGCGCCCGGGGCCCTGCTCGTCGCGGCAGCCTGCGTGTCGCCGGATGGCGTGCGTCGTCTCCGTAACTAACCGGTCCGGCCGTCCCAGGAGAGCACCGGACACCGTGATGTCGGATACCAGACGACCGTGCACGACCTGAAACTGCTGCTGCTGCGCTTCGCCCAGGAGCGCAGCTTCAGCGACGACTCTGGCGGCGGCGGGCCGCAGAGCAACGTCTACATCATCCCCCACCTGATGCACATGGCGCTGTACGTCATCAACAGCACGCGCATCGGGCAACGCGAGCTCAAGAACGTGACCACGCAGCTGGAGGCGACCGCCGACCGCTGGGTGGAGACGAGCTTCGAGCCGGACGGGCCGCTCTTCTGGCTGGCCATGGCGCCGCTGGTGCTGGCGCCGGACGGCTGGCGCCGGCTGCGGCTCCGCTCGCTGGCGCGCCTGCTGGTGCTGGCACAGGCGCGCCACGTGCAGCCGGGCGGCGGGCGCGCGCTGACGGAGCGCGCGCCGCAGTCGTTCGCCGTGTACCGGCCGTACCTGATCTTCTTCGGCCTGGTGGACGGGCTGTACGGCACCGTACTGGCACGCGCGCCCGCCGACGGCGACTGGTGCGCCGCGCTGGCCGAGTACATCCGCCACCACGATCAGCAGCTGCTGGAGGCGTGCGACCGGCTGCTGCGCGCCTACCAGCAGGAGATGCTGCCGTGCGCCTCGCTGCAGGAGATGTTTGACGTGCTGGGCGTGCTGGCCGAGACGGGCGAGCCGGACGCCTTCCTGCGCGACGCCCTGCAGCAGGTGCCCTGAGCGCCGACGGCTGGCCGGCCGCAGCGGCGAGCCCGGCGTCTGCCTGCGAGCGTGCGCTGTGGCGGCGGTCCGTCGTCTGCCCGCCGCTGAGAGCAAGCTGCCTCTGAGCGGCGGGGCAGGCCGTGCGGACTCGCGGCCGGCGGGCGCCGGTGCCGGCTCCGCTGCGACCGGCGGTCGCCGGTGCCGGCTCCGCTGCGACCGGCGGTCGCCGGGGCCGGCGGTGTAACCGGAATGTTTACACGGCTTTAGGTGTTGCGATTTCCCGGATAAGCTACGCACGCTCGGTTTCGCTTCGGAGAGATGTTTGTTTCAGCGCGGGAAAGAATAACGTTTTAGTCGGCTGTTATCACGTAATTGGGTTTGGCTGTTCTCATCACTCTGGTGCCGGTGTTTTGCCCCTCGGGTTGTTTTATTAACGCAATGCCTATGCCTATGATATGCTTGAAATAAATATTCACCCTCTAGTCCTCACCACCGCTGTGTGTAGTAGCCCAGGAAGGTCCGTGACGTCTGGACGAAAGCTCTCGAAACGACCGTCGGAGATCTGAACGGATTATGTGGATACGTCATGGCTGACAAGCATGTAATGTCTGCCGCGGATTTCGGAAAAAGTGCGGTTTGCCATACCGAGTTATCTCCTGGCTGAGGCGGATCAACGCCACAGCGAGAGTCATTCCGCACATGGGACCGGCGGGTATCGTCCACCAACCCTGCGTCGCCCCTGGATGTAAATCCGCCTGTCGCAGCTGCTCGTTCGGGGCTCGTCCGCCCGGGGTAGAGGCCCGCTCGGAGATTGCCTCGGCCTGTGTTGTGACTGCATGACCTGGGTCTTATGCTCTCAAGCGGACGGATGACGCGGACGAAAGCTTGGGGCGTCACCAAGGCGTAGAATCACAGGACGGGGGGGGGGGGGCGCTGCAGATGCTCCCCCCCCTTCCAGGAGCATCAACAAAACCTCAGAGAGCTCCAGCATTCGCGCACTCCGCCATCAATGCTCTTGGAAAAAATATGCATGCCCTTGCCCAGACTTGGGTCGCTACCGCAGTAGTCTTCGCCGTCGTCATTGAGGCTTTACGACGCACTCAGCTGCTGGGGCCGTATGGCGTCACCTTCCCCTTACTCCCCCCCCCCCCCTGGCAAGGGGGGAATTCACTCTGGAGAAGCGAACCCTGCCCCTCTGGTTTCCCAGACGACCGCAGTAACTATCGGGCACCGTTGCCAGCTATCGTGCGACATCTCAAACAGTCGGCAGCGCCGGTCACTCAGCGCCACACTGCGTCCCCCCCCCCACCGGCCGTGATGTCACCGCTCGGCAGATTGCAGCGGCCGGCGGTGTGACGCCACCCGGCGATCCGCAGGTGGGCGGCGATGACGTCAGCCGGATGTGACCGGCCGGGCGGCCGGCTGACCGTCGGCGCCCGAACGCGACGCGCTGCGCCGCTGTCGCGCCCGGCCTGCTGGGCTCAAGCTGCCGCGCCCAGCTCGCTGGGTGCAGTGATAGAGGACCGGCAGTGCCGGAGGACGCACCGGACCGAGGCAAGCAGCGGCCGGCGGCGGGTTCCTCGAATCCGCCCTCGCAAGATACGAGCCGAGCATTCCGATCGCCTCACGCCACCCCCTCGGGCGCCGGGCCGGCACACGGAGCCGACGCCGCACCTGTCGGCAACCTCGACCCGACGGGAGGGCGCGGCGCGGCGCGGCGGGCGCCGCCGACGCGATCGATGGGGCTCCCGGCGGACCGCTCACGGCGCCCGGGATCTCAAACGAACGGCGTGAGGCGGTCGATACCGCTCTGACGCCGCCGCTTCCTGGTCGGGCCTACGACCCGGCGGACTTGAGTCGGACTGGACCTGAGACCTGAGTCCGACCTGAGACTTGGATCTGAACTGAGATCTTAGTCAGAACTGACTCTTGAGTCGGACCGAGACCTGATTTTGACCTGAGACCCGATTCGGACCCGAGACCTGAGTCGGACCTAAGACCTGGGTATGACCTGAGACCTGAGTAGGACCTGAGACCTAAGGCAGGTCTGAAATCTGAGTCTGATATGAGACCTGAGTCGGACCTGAAAACCGATTCGGACCCGAGACCTGAGTCGGACCTAAGACCTGAGTAGAACCTGAGACCTAAGTCAGGTCTGAGATCTGAGTCGGATACGAGACCTGAGTCGGACCTGAGACCCATTCACCGGAGCGGAATGTGCGCCGGATTTTGCACGGCTCAGGCCCGGCCGAGTCTGGAGCGACATCTCGGGCGATGGCTGACGGACGATATCAGTCCTGCGATACCAGTCCCGCGGTTTGCTGGTGCGGCAATTGTTGCTTCGTGCTGGGAGCAGCGGCAGTCGGGACTAGGAGCAGTCAAGCCTGCCGTCTGTGCGTGGTGTTGCAATTAGGGGGGGGGGGGAGGGGAGCGTACAAGATCAGCTAACAAGGCTTGCAAGAAATGAGGTGTCACATGTATTGTCCACCAGGACAGCGCAGTTGCTTAATGTACGTGCCGGTGTAGATGAATCACTGAGGTCCTTGGTGCAAGCCTGGCTTCGACGGGCTTTTCCTCGACCGACTCGAGCTCACAGCAACTGAGGATCAAACTCCCTGCCACGGGGCAAAAGCTGCGGCAGTTCGCGCCCGTGCTAGTCGGTTCGTGGCATGGGTTGTCTGAATAAATCGACCCTTCGGCCCGGTGACCCACACCGAAGGAAAGGGCACGACCTCGCTCAGAGCCACCAAAGCGGTCCGCTGACAAGCCGTGGCCGAGAGATCAGGATGGTCCACGCGCATGCCTGTGTGCCGTTGCAGACACGGACACAAACAACGGGCAGTCAACACGGCTCTGAGACTGTGCCGAAAACGGAAATAATCCCGTTTGCGGTGCACGTTTGTGTATGTCACCGCTACGAACCAGAAAATGCTCTCGCAGACGGGACGGGACACACATGTTTTAGGAAAAGTATCACGGTACTGATTACGTTTGTGCGGCACGCATGCTGCGCCATAAAATCCGCATCGAAGAAGCATTTCCTTTTACCTATGACTGCTGTATTCAGGGCATACGTCAGCGCAGTTTCGGCGTTCCCCACGCGTAGCATACGGCAGCAGAGTGTTATGTGAGCGATGCTAGATGGAGAAACACAGTGGCTCCGTATCAATGCCTGACAAGTCGCAAGTTGACAAGGGCGTGTCCATTTTGGTGCAGGACTGAAGCTCATGTTACACTCACCCCAAATTGCCCTTTTCCACCATCAGGGGGTGATCCTGCTAACTCCGATGTCCTATGCTCCGATGTTGACCTTTTTGACAACTAGTGGCCGGCACGTCTTTGAACGACCGCAAGTGGTGCGTTTGCTTACAGCTCGCACTCACTCGGTGTTTGCAGAGTGTGGCCGGTTTCATGCAAGCGGCAAGCCTTCCTCTGACCGTTTGTCGAAGCGGATGGGCTCGCCACGCGTGGCCGGTGACTACGTCTGCCTGCTGTCCATTCCACGGGGCAGGCGTAACACGGCGTCGACGGAGCACCAAGCTGCCAGGCGTGCATTCGATCACACCTGCCACAACATGCTGAGCTCGGCTTCCGAGCGACCCGACGCTCGGCATAGCTTGACATGACGAGTGTGTCCGGGGTCGAACGGGACACCACCCACGCACGATACCAGGTGCGGATCACGGGATCGCCCGATAGCGAAGGGTTTCCAGTGCCTGGCCACGTAAGCCTCCAGCCGGCAGCCCGCGCCGAAACTGGACTCGTCCGCCGTGACAGACTGGTGCAGCAAGTTGATAATCTCGTCATCAATCGCAGCCGTGCTGCGTAACGCCACCCAGGGATGACGCTCCAGCGTACGCTGGGTCTCCTGCAGGGGTACCTGATGCAGGGGTACCTAATACCCGGGGGGGGGGGGGGGGTAGGGTAGAAACATCCAAGCTCTTCCGCGTGACCGTAGATCACCAGGGTCCCCGCCACGGGGCGGGTAGGCTGGACAGCGGCCCAATCTGTCGTCGGAAAAGGTGGGTGGACAGATCTTTTTGCGCGCCCTGGAATTTAGATAGGGCTCCAGAAGCCCACGATTGGTCTAGTGCATACCGTCAGGAGAAATGAATAGTCAGAGGCCCAAACATGACCAACAGCGTTATTTCGTAACGATTGCGAGGAGTCCCAGCATGGAATGATCGAGTTGGTCCGGGGTGGTCCTGTCACACGAGGCCCCAGCATAGATATCAGGAGTCCCAATAACTCTTAGGCTCTTAAATGTTTGAGAGCCAAGGCACGCCACGAGGCCATGTGTCCATCGACGGCCTCAGACCCTGTGCAGCAGGTATAGGGGCCAGTGGCGCAGGGACAGAAGAGGGGGAAGGGAGCGCGTACCACCCTAGGTGCCGAGGGGCCCAAAGGGCTCCGCGAGACCGACGATCGAGGGCCCAATTTGAGGGCTTGAAGGGCCGAATGGCCGGTCGTAGATCGCATCAAAGGTCTCGGCCCTGTGGCGCGGGCCCTCAACTACCAGTTGGCTGGCCCTTCGTACTGATTGGGGGCCGCCTGAGTCGATGAGCACCTTTGTTGGTCAGACACCGCCAGCACTCAACAGTCGGCTCCCTGTCTGTCTGGCCCGAAAGGCCAATATCCCAAGCAAGGAAAAGGCTGGCTCTCGCGACTTACAGTGGTCGGGGCCCCTGGGTCAGTGAAGGGGCTCTGTGTCGGCCATAGGCCCCGAGTGTCGGTCAGGGACCCACAATGCCTAAGAAGGGATGTTGTGTTGGCAAGGAAACCAGACGGGTCTGGCCAGGGCAGTGTCCGAGGGGGCCCAATAGGCCCCTTGGGACCGACGATCAGGGGCCCGATTGGAAAGCTGAAGGACCCGAAGGGCTGATTGGGGATCACATTTAGGATCCCGGCCCGTAGGGCTGCGACCTCAATATAAATCAGAGAGCCTTTTGCACCGACTGAAATCCCCCTGTTACAACGCCGGCACCTATTTCGGCCAGACACTACCGGCACAGAAAAATCGTTTCCGTGTCGTTCTGCGGCCTAGTGGCCCACCTCCCTAGCAGGGACGAGGTCGGGCCCCCGATTTGCACTGGA